CATAGTATCTGGGACGGATGGAGTATATAATATATATTCAATCTATTTTTTAAAAAATTAATAATTCAACGCATATACAACATATTTTTTTTAATGTAAAAAGTACGTTCATTTAAAAATAGAAAGTAAACATACCCACGATGTTTTGAGTGAAAACTAAATAGTAATATATATTATATTTATTTATTTTTCATGAAAAGTCATAAGATTGAATAATAAAAAACAAAATTCACAAACTAAATGCTTATCTTCACAAAACTTTCCTATGTTTCAATAGAAAATTCATCAATACTAAGGTTAGTCGTCTTACTTCACAATAATAATAATAATAATAATAATAATAATAATAATAATAATAATAATAATAATGATGATGATGCTGCTGATGATGATGATGATGATGATGATTTGATATAACAATAATGAATGATTGTTGGATTTGTTTGATTGTGATTTTAATTAGTTTGAAATCACAGCTATTCATTAGCTATATTTTTTTTTTTTGATAAAAATATATTATTTTATTTTACAAAATATTACTCATTCTGTTTCATTTAAATTGTCCACTTTATAGACATTTATTGGATAATTAGTAAGTAATTAAAAAATATATTAATAGAAATAATTATAATTTAATAAAAATAATTTTACATTAAAATTAAAATAACTAAAGAGTTTAATTAAAATAAAAAAAAATTATGAATGATGAATTTTAAAATGTAATTAAAATTTATAATTATATTTTAAAAGAAATAAAAAAATAAATTACGTAGAACAAACGAAAATAGAAAGATCGGACAAATTAAATGAGACGAAAAAAGTATATTAAAATACTATTTGTATAAAAATTTATATTAACACTTCATTTGAATCATTTTCCAACAACCAAACAATAGCTCAACCAAATATACTTCTAACAAATGTAAATAATTTTACTTTTTTAGAAAAAAAAAAAAAAAAAACACAAAGGTATATAATTATGATTCACTTTTCAAATTGACTAATCAGATTTCTAACACATGTATATAATTATGATTCAATTTTCAAATTGACTAATCAATTAATTGTTAATGTACCTATTTAAATTGGTATACATATTTTTATTCTACTATTTTTATACAACTCGTTTAATAATTGAATTAATAAAAACGAAATGAATAATATATATTGGCTCTATTTATTCAATATTTTTATATAAATTGATTTTTAACATATGTTACGAGGAATTATATAAAAAAAATAAAGTATGTAAATTTAAGTTACATAGTCTTTTTATAACTAGTATTTGATTTTTATTTTTTTTTATTTTTTTTAAGTTCTTGACTTTTGTAAATAATATTTTGTATTCATTATTATTTCATGTGTTTGCTTTCAAAATATATATTTTTTATTTTGAATTATCCAATTGAAAAATAATTATCTTAAAAATATATCATTATTTTACAAATATTATAAATATTTGAAATAATTTTAAACTTTGCACCAAAATATGTATACTCCTAAATTAAATAGAAGAAATAATAATTTTAGACGAGCGCAATTCAAAATTTGGTATGGACAAAGAGAGTTACTATATGAATGTGCATGTTTGTATTGTACAAGTTAAATTTAATCTATTTAAGATTATATAATTTAATTTAACTATTTATATAATAATAAAATAAAATGTATCTTTCTATTATACAAATTTGATCTATTTAAAATTATTATAATTTTATACTATTTTTATACAACTTGTTTAACAATTGAATTAATAAAAAATGCAATGAATAATACTTGTAACTCATTATTATTAGTTAATTATTATTTTTTTATTTTAAATATCGTATAATAAATAAAAAATGTCAATTGTTTTACGGAAGAACATTATTTTATAAAAATAAAATAAAATAAAATAAAATTTCGATATAATATTCTTTTTGTTCCTTGGCATATGATCTTTTTTTGTTTTTTTTTTATTTATTTATTTTTAATAAATTTATTTATTTAAATATATACGGCCTTTATCCCATTGGAAATGTGATGTTTGTTTTTAGCATGCTAATTTTTGAATATTAGTATTATATTAGATTATAGTAAAAAAGATAAAAATATTCTTATTAGTATGGTGTAATATAAAAGTAATGATATTTGTATAATATATTGTAAGTTGAAATGATACTTATTATGGTAATTGGATAGTACAATTACTAAATTAAGAAATGGTAATTTTGTTTTGAAAATGACGGAAATGGAAAATAGTAACATTTCCACATGACAAAGAAAATATTTAATATATATAAATTAATTTATCTCTTTTTAATAAACAAATATTTTTATTTATGTTTATTATTTCTATTTTTTATAAAATTAATTTTAAGATAATTATAAATAAATAAATAATATTATATTTTTTTATTTATTTTTATTATATAAAATTATATTTATAGTACATATATTTTATTAAAATATAATTTTAAAAATATTTAAAATATAATATTATTATTTATATAAAAATAATAAAAAATTATTATAATTTATTAACAATAATTTATTAATTTACAATATTTAAAATACAGATAAAAAGCTTCAGCGGAAGGAATAAAATAAAAATAAAAATAAGATCATAATTGACCAAATATAATTTTTACACTAAATTGTTAGTGTCAAATGTCAAATCAACGTAGTGACAGCTGTACTTTTTCCTGCATTTTTCTCGCACTGGGCCCATCTTCAATTTGTCCTAATTTAAGAAATGTTTATATGCATTTATTTTCGGGCTAAAGTACACCTGGTTCATCCTTATTTTCACGAAATTGCGTTAAATTTTTATAATTTTAAAATTGCGTAAATTCTTTTTATGATTTTATAAACTATACGTCTAACCCTTCGGCGGTCTTCAATTAACGGTATTTGACATAAATGCGTTCAAACTGCAAATAAATTTTATAATATTAATTTTTAAATTCCTAAAATTACAAATATATTTATTTTTCTTATATTTAGTCTAAATAAATAGTAAAATTAAATTTTTAAAACCTGAGAAAAATAATTATTTTTGAGTTTATTTACTATTTTTTAGATTAAATATAAGAACAATGAATATATTTGTAATTTTAGGGGTTTAGAAATTGAGATTCTAAAATTTATAGCAGTTTGGATCTATTTAGGTCAAATACCATTAAATATGGACCGCAGATGGGGTTAGACGCAGAGTTTATGAAACTACGAGGGAGTTTGACGCATGTTTAGAAGTATAGAGGATTTGGTGCAATTTCATGAAACTACACGTAGGTTTAGTACAATTTAGCCTTTATTTTTATAATTTAGAGTATTATTTATTAATAATATTACATCATCCGACTCTAAGAGTTTCATTTAATTTTTGCGTATTGATATTTGAATATTATAAATTTTTTCTACCTCTGTCAGTCCCATCCTCCGTAAATCGTTATTTTCTTAAAAAATATATATATAATTATACATTTTAATCGTATTTTAAAAATCATAATTTATAATTATTTTTATTTTAATTAATTAAACAATTTATTTATAATTATTTTTGTTAATATAAATTTTAATTATTTATTCATTATATAACTTTATGGCTAACTAAAATTGACAAATTAAGTGAATCCGATATTATATATATATATATATATATTATGGAGAATTAAAAAAGAAAACTTATATAGACTGGAGGTAATAATTAGGTACTGAATCTGGTGTCTTTATTATTTGGTCCGAGTCAAGTGAAAATAAACTGTAATGGAGTATTAGTCAATAAAATAGGCTATTCTCAAATTTCTCTGTTTATTATTTTGTCTCTTTGTTTATGTAATTAGTCATCACTACCTATCCACTCTCTATTCATTATTATTACTTATTTCTTACTCCACCAATATTATAATATTAATCTCTAAATTTTCACTTGTAACCATAATAATAATAATAATAATAATAATAATAAAGGAAGCAGTCACAGATTCAAGGGTCAGTGTTTGCTTCTTCTTTTTTTTTTTAATTCATTTTATTCTTCAATGAATATTTTTTTTTAAAAAAAATATGTATATATATATATATATTCAGTATCCAGTTTTAACTTAAAACATTGTGTTTAGAATTTATTTTTATTCAAAATATCACATATATTCACTAATAAATCAATATGGAATATAGTGAATGAGCCGTGTGAGCAAAAAAAAAAAAAAAAAAAGAAAAAAGAAAAAGCATAGGGTTAGAAATGAGATTAATAAGGCATTTTAATAAACACATAATACTCTTAATTAGAATTTATGTATTTGAAATTGATTATAGTTTTATATAAATATATATATACTATACAAACTAAATTCAGAAGCAAAATAATTAAAAATTAGGACTCCAAGAAAAAAAACCCTAAGTTGGTTGGCAGGCCATTTTGTTGAACTGCGTAAAATTTTATATTATTTATTTTGTTAGAAATATTCAATATATATATTTTTTATTTAAAACTTCAATTTGAACACTTAACTGACATTCAAAGTATTCTAAAATAAATAAATAAACATTCCAAAAAGCAACAAAACTAAATTTAATCATAGAAATAGTAATAATACTATATACATATATATTAGAATATTCATATTAAAATGATACCAGTAGCCTACCAGGTTGGATATGAGGTCAGGCGTCGCATTCCTGGGACGATTCGCACCGTTGGATCAATAGGTTCCCAATAAATGAACGGTTTAGATCAGTAAAGGAGTCGAAGTCCCGGGTCAATTATTCCACAGTCTTTAAGCTTCAAAGTCAAATATGTTCTACTGTGAAATACTTTCGAGGAATCTCTGCACCTGAGAACACCAAATATTGACTAAAAAACAATTTATCAATTAAAAATTCGTCGCAATTTCTCTATAAGTATCAAACCCTAACTTACAGAATAAATCGTTCAACAAACCCACCTGAGCTGATCCGATCGCCGGAAAAAGAAAATTAAATTAAAATCCCCTCCGATCGGTCGCCGGAAACTTAAAACAATGCTGCAAATCGTTCCGAAATCGTCCGTACTATGCTACGTCGTTTTGATAACGGTGCAGCTGAAGCTGGTGTGGGATTATCTTCTCTACCGGCCGTTCTTCCACGGCGCCGACGGTCTGCTCTTGCCGGAGTACGTGGAGAGCCTAAACATTATCACCGGCGGCGATTCGGATTGCGACGATGACTGCTCGGTCTGTCTGTGTAAGATCGACGAGAGCGATGAAATGAGGGAGCTACCCTGCAGCCACGTGTTCCATAGGGTTTGCTTGGACAGGTGGCTCCGCTGCGGACACGCCACGTGTCCTCTCTGCCGGAGCAATCTCCGGTTGCCTCCGCCGCAGTTCGCGGCGGAGATCCACCAGGAAGTCATTCTGATCAACTTCTGCAACGCCACCGCCAGATATGGCCAGTGGCTGCGGTGACGTCATATATATATGTATTTATGTATGTATATATATATATATATATATATATTTGAATAAGTTGGTCTTAATGGCGAGTTATTTTATTTCTCGATGTATAAGTAAATTAATCGCACTGACATTGTTTCATTGCATTTTCGACATTAAAGTTTCTTCTTTTAATAATGTTGAAACTTTTCTCTTTATTGTTCCTTTTTATTATTATTATTATTATTTTATTCATTTCTCATGATGTTCAATAAAACATATTATTTCTGTCGGAAAATTATCTAATATGTACAATTTCATTTCTATCTGCTTGTGCTTTCAAAGGAGATATAATTTAAGATCCATATTCCTACCGACTTTAAACATTCATTAAATCTTAATTTGAGATCATTTTTATACATACTTCTATGAACTGTTCTATTAAATATGTATTTATAATTTCTATGTTATAATAAATATACTACCTTCGTCCACTGTCAGTTTATTCATTTACTATTTGCACGTTAATATTCAAAACATAGTACAAATTAAGAAAAAATAGCAAAAATATTTTTATTGGTGTCTTATAATACTAATAAAATAAAATTTATACAAAAAATTATACAAATATAAAAATATTTTTAATGCTAAAAACAATGACGCCAAATACAAATGGATAGATTGACAGTGCGCGGAGATTAGTCATTGTTGATAGATCTCAACATGGCGGTTCATACAATAGCAAATAATTTTTCTTTCAATTTCCCCTTTATAAAAATATAAAAATAAAGGCAATATAATTTTTTAAAGTTAAAAATTAACCAAACTAAAAAACTGGTGATAAAACAGAAACAGAAAATTTAAAATAAAATAAAATAAAAAATAAAAATTATTCATGTGTCCTCCCGGTGGCATTGACTCGACGGACATGTGTATATTAATTGTATATATAATGATACGCTTGTAGTTTAAATAAAAATTAAAAATATTTTAGTAGTATTGTATATTATTACTTCTACTAAAATAAAAATGAGATATATATTAATATACAAACAATAATAATAAAAAAAAAATACATTAAATTGAAAGAGGAGAAATATTACTTTAAGTACTTTGTGGTTATTTATTACTCTTTAATATATATATATATATATATTATTTTTTATATTAATACAATTATCATACTTTATATTAAAAAGTGCTCCCTCTGCCCCACTTTATATGTCCGGGTTATTGTAAACACGAGAATTTAGAATAAATATAATTAGTAGATAATTAAGAATGTATTAGTGAAAATAATTATTCTATAATATAAATAATTATATATTTCAACTAAGATAACTAATTAGTTTAATTAAATTTAAAAAAAATTAAATTAAAAATTTATAAATGAGATTAAGTTGTGTAATGATTTTCCAAAAACAAAAGTGACATGTGAGACTGACAAAAATTACAGACATGGTAAGTGAGACAAAAAAAAGTATTTCAAATTAAAACACTAAATAAAAAATTCAAAAAATATAGAATTTAAATAGTAAACTTCGAAACCTTTTGCCAAAAAAGTACATTCTACATTAGTAGAAGAAGATGTATATATTTTTCTCTTACAAAATATTATTAAATAAAAAATTAATATTCCAACTCAAACCCAAAAATAGTTTCTAGTGATGATCTTATGACTTGTTTTGAAAATAGTTTTTTTGTTAATTATATTTATTGAGAAACTTGTTTTTAGTTGATCTAAGAGTTTTATCGACTAGACATATTAGTTTGTTTAGTTTGAAAATTAGAAATTATATAAATTGGTGATATCAATAACTTGTTAGCAAAATTAGATTTTAAAAAGTCAAATTTTGGTAATAAGTTATTGGGAATTTTATTTTATTAATTCGACTAGAGAATTTTGTCGATATAACATATAATTTGTTAGTTTAAACAATAAAAATTATGTATTTATGATGATATCAATAACTTGTTTAGCTAGCCGAGTTTGATTTTTCGTTAGTTACATTTATTGAGAAACTTGTTTTATTAATCGACCTAAGAGGTTTATCGATCAAATGCATTATTATATCTAAAAAAATAAATTATGTATTTTCTATGATATCAATGACTTGTTTAGCTAGCCGAGTTTGACTTTTTGTTAGTTATATTTACTGAGAATCTTGTTATATAAATCGACTTAAGAGGTTTATCGATCAAATGCATTATTATATCTAAAAAATCTATAAATTATGTATTTTCTATGATATCACTAACTTGTTTAGCAAAGTTCGATTTTTAATTAGTTACATTTATTGCGAAGCTTCTTTTATTAATCGACCTAATAATTTTATCAATCAAACGCAGTTTTTTGTTAATTTTATAAATAAAAGATGTATTTTAACCGTCAAATATATTGATTGGTTTTTTTTAATACTTAACACAAGAGATTGTTGCATTTCACAAACATTAATTGTAACACCTAAATTTTAAATTAAGAGTTTGTTCTCTTGTGTTTGATTTTGTATTTTGAATATGATACTTTTTTAGATACAATAATACATTTTTATAAGAAATTATAAAAAAATTATATAGTAACTAAATTTACAAAGTAAAATACTAAAAGAAAGATAACCTAATAAGCCTTCTAAATAAAAATTGCACCATATTTCAAATATGAAATACAAATATGGGTAAATTAAATTCCAAAATTGGTTAGTAAGAACATTGCTAATCCTTGCAATTGTTAGACATATTATTTAATGAATACAAGACAAGTAATTTATTTTAATTGTATATTCAAATAAAGAGAGACTCTAAATTAAAAGAAGTAACCAAAATAATTATTCTCTTCAAAATAACAAGTAATAATAATAGTTATATTTACGCAAAAATTAAATCAATGCATAAAAACCTTTTAATTATAATTTAAAATCCTTAAAATTAAATAACATACCCCTACGCGACATTTATTCTAGGAATATGCTCATTTATATAAATGAATTGCTAATAATAGGAAAGGAAAATTTTAAAATCTACATACACTAAATATTATTCTATCCAATAATTAATATTATATACAAGATTATCCGAAAACGAAAGTGCCTATAAATTGGTCTCCCACAATGTGACCAAAAAAAAAAACAGAAAAATGATTAGTTTGATAGGAAAATCGCTTTTTTCATTTGGTGTCCTTTTAAAATGGGCATTGGATTATCTTCTCAGCCAAACGCTTTCCCATTACCCAAATAAAATCGTGTTTTTCGACGACAGCGACTTTACCGATTCCGGCGACGGTCGGCCGGAATGCGCCGTCTGTTTGGGCATGATCGACGGCGAGGATGCAGTCGTGGATTTGATTTGCAGTCATTTATTTCACCGGGCATGTTTGGACAACTGGTTGTTGTACGGACACGCCACTTGCCCACTTTGCCGGAACCACCCACCGGCGGCGGTGGCAGCGACGGCGGCGGCGGTTCATCTGGAATTTGTACGGATGAATATTGATGTCGGCCATTTTGGGGGCAGTTATAATATGGGAGAGACGAATGGCCGTTACTAAAGTCTTTTTTGCTATATATATATATATAATATATTGGTAATAAAATAATTTAGCATTGGATTCATAAAAACGAAGATGTTGTAAATGGGATTTTTATTTATATCCCAGATTTCTCTCGATCGAATTCGATGCTCGGAATGTTATATATCTATATATATATGAAAATGATTTAATAAGTGTGTCGACTACATTCGATATATCGTATACTTACCAAATAAATATATCAATCACTTTTTCGGTTTAACTCTTTTTCGATTTAATGTTTATGTATATGCCCAAGTTTCGGATCGAATTCGATGCTCGACATGTTATCTATATATATATATATATGATGAAAATAATTTATGAATTTTGTCGAATGCGTTCCATATATTTTTAATACTTACCAAATAAATGTATCAATAGTTATTAACTGTTTTAACCTCTTTTGATATAATGTCTTTAATAAAAAAAATGATAAAAGTTTAATTTTTATTTTTTTTCAATGTTTTTTAGCAAAAAAATAAAAATGAGTTTGTTCTTTTTGTGAGTTTTTACTCAAAATTTTATATTTAAAATATCGCAAGTTATATCGTTATTTCAATTCAAATTTTTTAATATTTAAATCCTAAACATAAAATCCAAACCTTCCAAAGAAGTCCCAAAATTAACACTCTTTCGAATTTATACATCCTATATGACGAGTCGTTACTTGCCAAATAAATGATTCTATGTCTATATACAAACGCTGACTATCTAAAAATGCATAAGAAAATTATTTTTAGTTATTTATTAATATATATTCTCCCTCCGTCATTCAATTTTATTCTATTTTTTTTTTCATTCAAATTTATTCTAGTTTCATTTTTTTAGTAAAAAGATACTACTTTTCTTTAATAAAAAGTAAAACATTCTATTCTTATATATATATATTTTTAAAACCCATGTCCGGTCAAATGAGCACATAATTGGATGACGGAGGGAGTATTATAAAATAGATTCAATTTGTTCAACTCAAAAAGCATGTAAAAATCAATAAGAGTTGTAATAAATATTATATTATTAACACCAAGAAAATCCAATGGTTTTTGTAACTAATTTTAAGGCAACCAATAATTTATTTATTTTATTTGACTGTGATTTAAAATAAAATATTAAATTGAATTTTTGTTAAAATATTGTAGTATTTTAATATGGTTTTATAACCAAAAAAAAAAATAGTAAATTTTTATTGAAAATTTATCAAATAAATATTTTTTAATTTCAGTTTAAAATTACAAAATAAGAAACCCTTTAATGTTGGTGTAAAAAAAGGTTAAAAGTGTAAACTAATTGAGTTTATATTATTATGACTTATTAGAGGAAAAATACTGCTTTAAATTAACTAGTTAACAACGACCCTATAAATAAACACAAGCAAATTAAAGACTGCTTACACAAAACAAACATGTATATTATTTCGGAAATCTGTTTGTTTGGTATTTGATTTATTGAGATAAAAAAATCATATATTAATTTATTTTTTTTTTCTTTAACTAAAAAAGAACAACTGGTAACAACCTCAAACACACACAAATCTTTTCAAATATTCTCAATGGGGGTTAAAATAACAATCCTAATAGACAGCTGTAGAAATATTAAGGATTCAATATAATATAAACGTGTATCTTATCTTGTTTTTAATTATATATATATATATATTAATTAATTAATACTCACTAATCCCACATAACAAACATGGCCTTAGTCCTTGGTGGCATGCTTATAAATAGTCCTAATAGATTATAAGTATAGATTAAGGGAAATGCTTAGTATAGGGAATCGGGAAATGAAAATGTTTTCATTTTAATTATTTATTTTTGTCAAATAAATGAAATTTGAAAAATAAATTATTTGTATCTATGTTTATAAATGTTTAAACTTTGAAATTTAGGATATTCCTTAGTATTTTATTATATTGGGCCTCCAGTAAAGAATGTTTGGGCTCTGAAAATTAAAAGCCCATAGTAATAAAATAATTTCAGCCCAATTAAGTAGTATCATGTCAAGCAAGCTTATTCCAAACGACGTCGGCTCATCAAACTTGGATGCCTTTCTTTGGAAGTTGAAATTCTTTCTATTTATCTGATGTTGAATGTTGAAGGATTTTGGGGAACTCGTTTAATCTTATGATGTAAGATTCCCCATCTTAGTTGGCTGTCCTACGGGTTGAGTTAGGGCTTTTGATCAAATCTGTTTTCTGTATTTCTGCCACAAATTATTGAGGAGATATAAACAAGAAAGCGGTTTTCTTATTTTACTTTCTTGGTAAAAGAAGTTTGAAGAATTCGAGTTTTGCAAATGAACTGAGCCATGAAAAGATTGATGTGAAGTAGAGATCTGAGTTTCTAGCAATTGTTTGTAGGCTGAGTTATATGATAATGATTAGGATTCTATGATGAGGAAATTTTTTGGGGCGGATCTGGATTGACTCAAACATATAACAATCTTGAGTGAAAATGAGTGTGATGGGAAACTGCAGGTTACATTTTTTAATCATATATTAAATATCATGATTTGCATTATTCCAATTGGTTTTCTTTGAGAAGATTCGTGCTCTGGTGTCACTAATCTATGTGTGTAATTTTGTTCTTACAGTCGTCTCCTGCAACTGCAAGGGCTGATTTTATTACCCCCAAAGAAGGTATGTTTATGTCGTGACTTTGTGAGGGATTGTGTTTATTAATGAAAATACCTATTATATGGTACAGAGTCTTATGCTGCATGGGTTGGTTGAACAAGTTTCATGGCCAACATGCCCTGAGGGAGAGGGCCAAAAAAATAGATCAAGGCATTTTGATTATAAGCTACTGATTGGCTGCAGGTTATGGTTTTCTGGAGCATCAAATTTTGAACAGCTTGCAAATTTTTATTGAATGGAACAAGAATTTGGTGGTCAATTATATGTACGTCTTCCTCCATAGAACCATATTAGGTCATTAAATAAATTGTCATTGTCCCAGTCATACACCGGTTATTATGGAAATGTGTCCTGTAATGAATTTAAGTGTTTCTACATGCAAGTATTTCATTTGCCTGTGCATCTCTGAATATTGAGTTATGTTACTTCATATATGCTTATTTCATTTTATTTTTTTTGCTTTAATCTTGCAGGTTTGAGATGCCATTTTATAGATATATATATATATATTGTGAGGTTCAATGCAGAGAAAAAGCAAGTGGGAAATTATTACTCCACAAAGGTATTCTTTTTCAATAGAGCTGAACTCATGCATATTATCAACTGCTGCTCTTACCATGTATTTATTATTTTTGGTCCAGATATGGAGTTTTACAATGAAATCAACATGCTCCAGAGATAAGATTGTTATTCAAACAGATCCTCAAAACTGTGAGTATCAGATTATCAAAGGTGCCCCAAAAAAGATTGAGGAGAACAATGCGGAAGATGCAGAAACCATGTTACTTCCCCATTGATGAAGGTGAGTATCCTTTGTAAACATCATTATGTTAATCCATACACAAGTATAAATAACATTGTCTCTGTTTTCACAAGTATGCACATAATGTTGTATGTTAATGTAAAGCTATTAATTCATAACCTTCTCCGTTGTAGATAAAAGTAAGCTGGAGGATCCTTTTAAGCGGCTTGGGCACCAGGAGAAGATGTGAACAAGAAAAAAGAAGCAGAACCTGTACTGGTGCGACTGCAGAGAAATTCTGATTCCCGGCATTCTGATGATTATGCATTGAACAAATCGCCGAGGGCAAAGCTTCGGGATCAAAAGAAAAGAGTAGCCGAAGAGGAGAGGCATATGCCAGGAAATTATTTCTTTCATTTGTCTTATAGTTAAGATATGATCACAATATGGATATTTATTTACCAAACAGGGGAGGGCATAGTGTTACCAAACAGCTTATTACAAGAACCATACTTGTACTTATTCTCCATGTCTGTTCCAAATCTGTCGAACTTTACTTACAAGTAGCAACCAACACTTTTCTTGGTGGGAGTGATGGCCTTCGACCATGGAGCAAAGCATAGTTGTCCAAGAACAACACATCCCCTTTCTCCCACTTGAATTGTATACTTTCCTCTTCAATTATCTCCCCACATCTCTTCACTATGTCCCCCGGAATCTCCGTCCCGTCCGCGCCCATCGCCGAGCTCAGCTCCTTCCCGTGCATCCCGACCATCGTGTTGAACCACATCCGCCGCCCTTTTCTTCCATCGAACACGCGTGTCAGACTCCTCGGTCCTAATATTGTCTTTATTCCCCCGTTTGGTAGCCATTCCACGTCCATCCCTAACGCTTTCGCCCTACATGCAAAAATACATGTAAAAATTTTTCCATCTCATCTAAAAGTTTAAGCTATTGTATCTTACCGTTTCTCTGCCTCGTCACGGTCGGATGTTGCAAAGGTGTCCTCCCATCCTCGCCCCCTCATCGAACCCGTGTTGTCTTTACTTAGAGCAGTGAACGTGTACCGTAGCCCCTTCTTGTCTAGCTCCTCGACGAACTCCGGAAACTCCTCCAACATTCTCTCGGTGACGCGGAAGCTAGGCACAAACGGCGTCTCGCCACCCTCCGGCGGAGGCACTTCGCAATATAGTATCACTTTCTTCGGAAACTCTGATATCTAACAACCCGGCCAAGACATTATATTCTAAGTATCATCAAACAAATATATATAAATACGGAACGGTTATGGTGCTTAATTGAAAAAATCAATACCCGTAATATATACAAACAACACATAGTCTTATTATACACAACACATGCTGTGTATAGTAAAGACATGTGCTGTTGGTTTATAATTATAAGTGTGGTATGTTGAAATCAACTATTATTTGTGATGTATAAGACTACAATATAGCTGTTAATTCATGTGTTATATTTGTAGTGTTGGTTTATAATTACAAGTGTGTTGTATATGTGATGTACTGAAATTAGCTATTGCTTGTGCTGCATAAGACTATAGCATGTATTGTTAGTTCATGTGTTGTATTTGTATTATATAAATGCATACGGTGTGTTGCCTGTAGTAACACCATGTACTATTTGACAACACACAGTGTACTGCGGTGTGTTGTCAGCACGGTGCTGAATTTTTATATTCAACACGGTGCACCCTAGTTGCCGCCGTATAAATACATTGTGCATACACAAATGTAGCTCACCAAGACCATCTCATGATGGTAGTATATGAATTCGGACAAGGGTCCTTCATTGGCTGTCCAAATCCTCTTGTGTATGTGTGTTCGCGGCGCTGGCCCGACGTACCGGATGTCGTCCCAGCCGCAGGCCTCGACGATGTCATTGAACTCGACAGCGTTTTGGACATCGAATCCTCGTAGAAGAACCGCGCTATTCTTGATGATCATCTCCTCGAACCACTCCTTGTTCTTCACTATAGCTTCCAATAACGACTCGACGGAGGCTTTTCCGGCCACCTCCGGCGGCTGCAGCACGAGCGGAATCGTCTCGCCGTCAACCATCTTCTCACCCTCACATTTCCCCACCTTGAAGTCCTTGCAAGTGTACTCCATTTCTTTGTTCCAATCTCCAACTTCTACCTCTTCGATTGATCAGTTGATACAATTTTTAGTATACATGCTTGTAGTAATTAATAGGATATATATATATATATATATATACACGTAGTGTTTGGGTGTATCAATAGATGATGACAATGTGATCGTGTAAAATTTTTTAATAAAATTGGAGACTGTAAATCGATTAAGTTTTGTAATTACTTGGTGAAACCACATAGTTTTTGTAATTTAAGTACCTAGTCCAATTTCATCAAGAACTACGAAATTATATATGTATTTCACGTAATGACAACAACAATGGATGAAGACAAGACAAAACAGCATCGTATATTATTATAACTACTCTTTGGCTTCAAATGCAGATTCTTTACGCTGCAGGCTGTCGTTTTTGGAGGATTGGAACAAGGGCCTTCTAAAAAATGATTAATTTTGTAATGGACAAGAAGGAATTGAACCAGCAAATGTGAAGACAAACATGAGAATATTATTGAGTTGAAACAGAATCTCATCTATCGACTGAACTCCGAAGAATATATATAAATATATATATCTTGGATTCGATAAAACCTAGGTTTGCATCAATTAAGCTTCTTTGCACACGTGTAATTTATTCAGGGTTGGATTGTTTTTATTTTAGTTCTCATTAAATTTTGGAAGTGGAGGGTAGCATATCATGTGCTTGTTCTTTTAATGAGACCCTTTCATTTTTTTAAATAAAAGATATTGATAAATCAAACAATAACGAATATAATAAATTTTTTATATTCAAACAATAGCCTGTAAATGTTGGTGTAGTAAAACCCCAAAAAAAGAATAATTAAAAATGTAAAAAAGGCACACAACACACAGCACCGGAAGACAATTATTCATTGTCTTAAAACCAATTCGATTGCATTCTGCTGAGGCTTTGTTAAACTCTGCATTAGAAACCAAAGGCTATTAGATAAATCAGATCCAAAATGACAATAATAGGAGAACGCATAACTAGAGTAGAGCTGCCATTGATGGTTTTTAACAAGACCTGGAAAACATGTTGGAAATATGCCCCGTTGTCAGCCTCGGAGAACTTCGCCAATGAATCGACGAGATAGGTGACCAAATTGATCTAGACAGTGCATAAGACTTGTGTAAGCAACAAAAAATGGCTACCTGGGATGATTGGTTCTTGACAAATAATGCGTACCTCGTTTAAGGGGTCTGCGTTGCTGAGGAGCTCATCATCATAGTCGTCTTCTTGTTCCTTCACCCAAGAAGATAAGAGGACGGGAAATAAAGCTTAATTGAGTACAACAAAAATATGCAGCAGAATTCGGCAAAGCTACAAGAATGTCTAGACAATACCTCATTGAAAACCTTTGCCATGGCTTCGAGATATCCGTATGTAGGTCTGCTATGTGATGTTTGATCAGCGGAATATAGAAAATTGGTGTGCTCTCCTGCCTCTCCATTTTGAACGTCTTCCCAATCGCTATCCTGGAAAATGAATCGCCAAAAAGATTGATGGTCCTCATCCAGTTTGATGACTTGCTTCATCATATAAATGTGTAATGTAATTGAAAGCGTACCTCATTATCTGCATCCACTTGTTCTTGGATTTCCAGCAATGCATCCGCCAGCAGTGCAAGAATCTAATCATTTACAAGTACATTAATCAAGGATAAAGGTACACTGGCTAAAAATACACATTTGGTTATGTTAGCAATTACCTTGGCCGGAAGTGGAACTTCGGTCCACTGGTCAGGTGTTTTGTTAGCTCTGGATCGCGTGGTTATCCCTGCAGCAGACTGCATGATTATTAAGAAAAGTAACTGAGTTCTTGAGACATTGCAATAAACGCATTGTGCCATTACAAGTGCGGAGCAACCTGAATTAAATGGCCCCGAACTTTGATGTTCCCCAACTCGACATGCCTGGTCAAGAGCAATATAGCCAGAGCCGTAGTCGTCACTTTAATTTGATAAGCTCCTTGAATTTCACCTGGATTCAGTGAATTTTTGCTTCATTCATAAAGGTCAAAGGCTACTCAAAGCACATAGTAATATGGAAACATCAAGAATTAAAAGTCGGTTCATCCACTTGCCTTGCAGTTTGGTCCATTCGAACATTACATAAGCAAAGGAGTTTTGATGGCCTTCAGTTGGGATCGAGACCAACAAGTCAATGAATTGTTCAACATGTGGCACGCTCATGTGTACCTGTATCAGAAAATATAGTATAGCATATAAGTTTTTGTTGAAATAAGTACCTGCAAATAAAATCTGAAGCTGCAAAGCAACAAATTCATGATGAAAACCAAAACATTCCAACTCCAATCAAATTTGGGAAATGATATTAGTCCAAATCATTTAATTGAACTGATTCACAGCAACATAACATTCACATGGTCAAAATATAGAATATTTCAGCTTTCATTCAAACAGATTAAACTAAATCTTATCATTGCTTTTATGGCATAAACTTGTTCAAAAAGATTAAACTAAGTCTAAAATTTTATGTATAACCATGCATAGAATTCTACCTGTATGAGATAAGTCACTAACCAGTCTAGCAAAAATTAGAAGCAGTGAACACTTCAGACCAGCAATTTGAGATGATTTCATCCGTCTGATAAGTGCAATCACAAGGTCCCTGATATGCTGTGCCATTTGAGCAGGCAGATGTAGAATAAGTTGTAAAATGTAGTTGCCCACGAAAAGTGATCCGGAACTCTCCAACCCTGGGTCCAGAAGCCTATGTTGGAAAAGAAAAAGCGATCAGAAATATTACATACAAGTTACCACTTATTTTCTTGGTATTTAATGAGTAAATTACCTTGAAGCCACATCAAGTAAACTTCTCATTGTTGATCCAGGATCACCAAACCAGGTCAGCATATCTTGTTTTCCACCGGATACAAGAGCGGCTAGGCACTGGGTGGCATTCTGCAACATACAATAATTATTATTTCGTATATTATGCCTTTCTCTGACCTTTTGAGGAATGGCGTGGATAGTGTAAACTACAAACAAGGACAAAAGAAAAGATAACCTGCAGCTCACTGTGATCATTACTCTGAAGGACTATCCGGACAACAGAATGAAAGGATACTTGATACACTGCCTTTAGGACATCAGTAGGAGCATTCTGAAGTACAACATCGTATCGGAATATCATCACTCGTCCAAAATTGGATGCAGAAAACAAATATCGAGGAAAATCCCTTCTTTAACAACTAATCACCTTTGCTAACATTGTAACAAGATCCAAAGAACCAGCTACTAATCCCTCAGTTTGTTGTTGTGTCTGAGAAATGCAATAATCTAATGAGAACAGAAACTTTCATATATCACATTTTTTATACTGGAAAATTTTGGAGGTTGCATACATTACTGAGGATTGGTCCAATGTAAGGCAAAACTCGAGAAACCAGAGGGTGAATACATCCAGGAGCATTTTTTATTGCCTGAAAACAATAAGATATAAGAAATAGGATTTAGAGAAACTAGTTGAATGGTAAAGTCCACACAGTTCCATTCTCATCTCCAAGGAAAATATAGCATTGTTGAATCAGATGTGCATCATGATGCAATAAGAGGAGTTTCATAATTTCATACAGAGGGAGAGTCGCACTGTAGCAGACACACCCCAAGCAACAAAGAGCAGTGTTGGTTGAGTGAAAATCGCATTGTGTAGTATATTTGAAGTAGAGACATCTAAAATTGATAAAAAAATAGAAACATTTACAAAAACAAGCATTCATTGATAAGTGAGTGAGAATGTGTTGGATTTTTCCTAAACTCATCCCCTTGCACCCTGTTATATGCAGTATGCTATAAATATAATCTAGCATTAACTTAAATTCTTTGGAATTCTTATCCATATACACATCATTAAAATCACATTAGAAGACAAAAAATAATATATTCACACATATAGATATACCTCCAAAACCTCTAGAGAATCAATACTGATGAAAGGGTCTGAAATATGAGAAGCCCACATGTTAAGTATTACAGGAGAGATGACAGGCTCAACTGATGCTGTAATTTCATGGCCTACAAAATAAAACACAAATGATCTCCTATAGAATGTGGTCATAACTTGTAATAGATCTCAGATCTCAAAACATGAAAAACAGCAAATCGACATTTAAATTAAATAGGACAGAACTTTCACTAACCAGCCTTCACAGCTGCTTGTAGAGTTTCAAGTACCAACTGCATTGTCTCTTCAGAAGCCTACAAAGCAGGAAGTAATCAAAAAGCATATCATCAAGAAAATCTATAGATAACTGACACCCAAACCATAATGGATGTCACCTCACATTTTTAAGAAGATCTACAAGCGATGAGAATAAGCTCAATGCATGTTGTTCAAGAATTCCTTTGTTAGCATCTGAAAGAAGTTGAGACAGTGCTCGACAAGCACCAACTTTCACTGGTGGCGGCCTGGAAAAAACATATGGATGAGTGGGCATTCTACTGGACAAACCAGAAAGGAATGCCCAAAACAAAATACTTACACATCCATGCCAACTGTCTTAATAGCAGCATACAGAAAATTCTCTGTCACCTGGTGGTTTAACTGTGGAAATAAGGAAAACCAAAAAGATCTTGGGTAAGTATAGGAAGATGAGGGGTTGCGGAAAAACAAGAGGAGGCTGTTTAAAAAGTACCACAGAGGAAAACTTTGCAACTGATGAAAATAACCGAGCATGCAAAAATGGAAATTCATGTATGCCTGCACATGAAACAGAAGTATAATAACTCTACGTGTGAAACCATCAGTGTCTAATAAATAGGAAAGCAAATTCACAGAAGCATTGAAAGTGATCGTGTCCATGCATGCCATGGAAACTTTCCCACCCATTGCCGCATCATCAGTTAAGACCTTCTCTAACATATTTCCAATGGTGGGTGCAGAAACCTAAAGTGTAACAAATGCAGTAGATAATATTATAACATTTCACAGAGCCTGAAACCAATACAACTAAGTTACAAAGCCTTCTCAATAATAAATAAAAGGACTTGCCTCCACTTCCGTCAACTGATCTGATACAGAAGCCAAGCCAAATAGGGCAGCCTCCCGCAACTGCCAGCATAGAGACACAAAACCACACAAGAATAAAGAGTCCAATGTTAGATCTAGCATGACAATGTTATCCATCAATCGAGCATCAAAAAGTTCAAATGATAGCTTTCTTGTATTATTAATTCCATATTCTCACTAAAGTAAGGTCCTGAGAGGTGCAGCACATTGATTCCCTCACCTCTCACAAGTATTGAGAAGCCATACACAATTGCTCACCTGATCTAATGAAACCATACAAAATTTCTTGAAAATGGCAAGCTGATTACATTTCAGCCAAAAACTCCACAATGGCATATTTTAAAATCTGATAATGCAGTTTAAATTAAAATATATACAAATTTTTCTGATGTGTGTACAAGATGTACTTCAATTGGATAGTGAAGGGATGAACAGCATGAATTTAATTCACATGGAAGTAGAGGAAAATTTTTTTTTACTCTTAATGTTTATATGAAGCTTGAAATGATAGTTTTAGCAATTACAACTTTAGAGGAGCATCAGTTCATTTAATCGAGTCATGAAGTTATTTGACTTACTAGCCACCATCCTGGGGAACCACTATCTTTCAGTTCTTGAGACTCACTTATTCGTCTCCTCACAGAGTCAATAACAGCATCTAGTCCTTCCATTCCAAAAGAATTTATAATCTCCTCCAATAGAATGGTCCCTGCAAATAATGTTTATTAAAAGACGGAACTCCACAAGAATTTATAATCTCCTCCAATAGAATGGTCCCTGCAAATAATGTTTATTAAAAGACGGAACTCCACAAGATGCACATAATGATTTTGAACAAGCACAGAATTTCATAAGACTTTTTAATTATAAGATAAAGAAGGTATAACCACTCCAAAAGACTTACCGGATACACGACAACTATAAGTATTATCATCTTCATCAGCTATATATTGATTAGCATCCAAAGACCAGGTGTGAACCTAATGCAAGTCAGAGTATCGTAATTCAATAAGGGTTCACTTTAAAATTATTTGCATTACTTCAGTTAGCAACAAAGGTAAAAAATTAAATACACAGAGAAAGATACAGACTTTTGCACCAAAAAAACCAGATAAAGAAAAAAACAACTAGCTCATTCAAATTGTTTCCCCCGGAAAATTGCAACAATTGAAGATATAAATAACTTATCAAACTTCTTTGTCAATATAAGTAGAAACCATATGCACACATGTCTTTCTTTAGAATGGTCTTGACTTAAGTTTATTTATTTATTTTTGGTTTGAATGCCCCAGGCTTCATCTACATTAACTGCTCTAATTATCCAATATCAAGACACAATTTTAAGTTTTACGAGTGTATGTCATCGTCAACAACTAAGTGACACTCTAGACAAGTATTAGACAATATTTTAATGATTAAAGTAGGCAATTTATGGAATGAAAAACACATTTGACATTCACTAGAAACAATCGAAGACTTTTCCATGGAACTAGCAAATAGATGCTGATGGACCTCTTAAATCAACTTGTGAAAAGTACCTGTTGCTCCGTTATTTGAAGGAAAGCAACGGTATAGTAGACCAACTCTTTCACATTGTTCTTAACAACCTGAAAAGGGCATTAATTAATCTAAACCTCAGTGAGGAGAGCACACATGAGGGAGATGAAAATTTATGGTCATGAAAACACCTTCCCAAATCTTGGACTTCCAACAAGAGTCAATAAGAATTCAAATAGCTGCACAACCAAACACCAGCAGGCGAAACTTCAATAATTGTTAAATAAATATATTGATGCTTCCATGGTGACCAACAATATACAGAAAAAAAGCATATTCAAATTTCAAATGTTGATCTGCACTCCACTTAATAAATATAACCATCAGGCAAACCTTTTCACATGAAAAGTTAACCTATTTTTCCAACCATACGTCAGCTACAATGTTATAGATCTGCAGCAGTTAGCACCATTCTAATAATTGACTCAAATTTCATTTATGCTAATAAACAACAGAATTAACCTGGATTATGAAGGACTCGAGGCTTTTTTCTACACCATCAGAATCATATCTCCCATCATAAGAATCTAATACACCTTCAATAGATGATCGCTTGTACACTTCCAAAGACGAGACAAATGTGTTCCACAAGGGCCCAACAATTACTGAAATATTACCATAATGTCAGAAACATGGACAAAGGAAGACAGGTCACAGTACAACAAAGACCAAAAGTTCTAACCCAAGCAATTGTATCACTATACCTCCAAAATGTGTTTCCACTTCAGATGGAAAATTTTGAACAAACTGATTTAAGCACTTCAGTACCTAAATGAAGTGGTAACAATATAAGCCAACCGTCATAAATATGGCAACAAGAAAAATCATAATAAGAGCCACCTCCATTCTGATGCTCCAATCTTCCGGATCTTCAGATGGCACTGGATCCCTCAATATTGATGAAAATTGCTCCATCCAAGGTGGAAGCATCGGTAACAACAGGGCACTAGTTTCTGTCTAATTAAAACAAGACATAGAATTTCATTGTTTATATCAGTATATGCATTCAATAGATGGGATATTAGTAAGAATCAAGATATAGGTGCATACCTTGTAGACACCACTTATAACTCCAAGGATGGATGCACAATTATAGACAATTGAGAGAGCTTTAGACCTCAAACTTTTTTCATATTTCTGCAGAAATGGGTCCACAAATTAACAGGAGGATATGGGCTCAGTAGCAAATCTTGTATCACAAAAATTCAATGGTTCTCCAGACCAAAACTCTGAAATCTAAACAAGTAAATAAAGAAAACAACTGAAAGGACTAGTTTTCTTAGATCCTATACAGCTTAACTAGAAATTCAAGGAATTAATACGCTATAGAAGAAGGTTGTTATAAACTGATATGGCTACCCTTACAAAAGTTAAGACTCTAGAATAAACTACAAGTGCTGACTATTGAATAATATAAGCATGTGGCTTTCCCATAAGTGAATACCCTTTCCACATAGATAATTTCCTAAAACTATGAGTTAAACCAAAGTTTAAACTGCTATGGGATAACATACATGAATGCTATAAGCTATGAAAAATAATATTCACCAGAGGGGATGACACAATTGTTGCCAAGCATGGGAACAAAACAGGGATAATTCTAGGAACCATCTTATCATCCATGTCAGAGGAAAGAAGTGCAAGGCATCTTAAAGCCCCATGAACTGCAACAGAAACAATAAAAAACATTAGCTTAAAACAATGGTCAAGGACACTAACAGGCATATAATGAACTCACCGGCATTCTGTTTAGTTTGGTCGTGGATTAAACTTAGAAGGAATGGAAGTAGTTCAGGCCAATCATCTGGCCAGTCATACTGTGCAATTGTAGAAACAGCTACACTCACTGCAGTGCAAATCTTCTTGGAAGGATCTTCAAGTGATGCTAAGAGTAGCCCACGAATGGATACCTGATAATGTCAAACTAGTGAACATTCTTCATATATGTAATCCTATTTTTCATTCACCAACTATCAGAACAGGCAGCACAAATAAAATGAAACTGATGGTGATGCTCAACAAACAGCATAGAACAACCTTAAAAATTCTAAGCATGTAATTGAAAAGATGTGATGGCAACTGCATATTATCTTTGAAACAAGTACAGAATATATATGATTAAAAGCAATTACTGATCCCTAATCACAAATGACTCTTCATAAATTATATAGATAATTAGATATTGAAACCCTCAACTCTGTACCAAGTAGTATTATATCAAAAGTAACTACAACAGGTATAACCATTGAGAAATTCAAATCAAAATAAAGTAAATGACCTTCTCATTGGTCAGAACAACAGGATGCTCAAAGCCTTCCTCATCCTCAGTCCAGTGTTTTTTAATATATTGCTTCAGCAAAACTGCTGCTAAGTAAATGTATGTTAATCTCACAATAAGAATATGAAAACAAAGGGACAATAACAAATGACTAGCGTAGCCATGAGTCAGCAGGTATGAGAAAAGATTCTTCTAAGTAAATCACACAAAAAGGATATCTGCCTCAATCCCACTGGAAGTTCCCGGTTCGCAGCAACTCTAGCTAAAGCAACACCATAACCTTTCAAGATTTCATAAGAATGCATAATCAGCTCATGAGAAGTAATAGTAGTAATACACTTAAGGATAGATGAACAAATATATATGATAAAACAAAATAATAAAAATAAAATAAAAAAAAATAGAAGTTAAATCTCTCTGAATATCATCCTAAAATTTTAGTTAAATTCATTTTTGCGAAAAGGATTTTAAAGTGGTGCGCAGCAACCAGAGCATTTGCAAACTAAGAAATCACACCAATCAAATTCCCGAAAAAAAACAACATTTTAGAATCCAGACAAGCCCATCGATTTCGCAATAAAAAATTATTTCAATTACCTGGCTGAGAGGACGCTTGTTGGAGGGAAGTCTCCGCAAAAGTCCGAATTTGATGATTGGGATCGAGTGAAGCGTTCAAGCAATTGATCAGCCACTGTTGATCTTGATCCATCTCTATGCATCACAAAATCCCAAAAAACAAATACTCAAATGCAAGTTCCTATGGTGCGATAGAGCGTTCCCGACTGAGAGGAGAACGCAGAAATGGAAATTTGGGAGGGAGACTGAGAGAGGGGATTTTGTAATCGAGGGTTTTTTATAGGCGTTTAGGGTTTCTGCCTTCATCTGTGTTGACACTGACTGGTCAGAGTCAAAGGAGATAAAGTCTCCTTCTTTATAACTTTCCTCATTATAAAAAATATATATAATGCGCCTTCTTTTGTTATTTCTTAATCCGCCATTAATGCCTTCTTATTTCTTAATCAATTTCAGTTTGTTCACAGATTATTTGAATTTCCCAAAACCCTTAATCAGTTCTCTCCATTGTGTAAGTTCTCGGTTCCAAATTCACAGAGAGATCCTAACATAGGGAAAAGCCAACAGATAAACAGAGACATACAGAAGAACAATATTTAAAAGACCTAACCAATAAAGTAGAGAGAGAGATCAAAACAAGTTTCTATTCACTAAGAAAAACTAAATATTGCTTCCAAGCCTGGGATCCATCATGATTTCAAGATTTCCTTTTTCTTAATCCCTGTATGATGATACTTGAAGATCCATTTCCAAATCTTGTGGTTTCTGCTGCCTCTTTTCAATCCTCTTTCGCTCGCAGACATTCTGCAAGATCCACTGCTGCCAAACACAGCCTTGCTGCCTTTGAAGCTCCCGCCTGTCTCAATTCCCGCTCCCTGGTCTGAAGCTCCACTCACTCTCCCCTCTACCTTCGGCTCGGACAAGTCCAGCTTCAAATCAATGAATGCAGACTCATCCATGGTGCTGAAGTCACTCTCCTTGGCTGGGAAAACACTCCTGTTCTGAACACTGTACGATCTGTCGAGCTCAATTGGAGGGTTCGATCCAAGAACCCTTTTACCTCCTCTGAAATCTGCAAACCCATGATCACCCTTAAACCCGCTTTTCCTAGATTCCGATTCACTGTACTGATCAAGAAAAACCCCACTGGTGACGTCGGAAATCTTGGCACTCGACAGGGCGTATTCACTGCCTTCATCAGGGTCACTGTACCCAACAGCACCCCTGAAACTGCAGAGAGACCTCGACCTCGACACTCCCATGATGTCAGAAACCCAAATCTCACTCTTCTCGTCGCAACACTCCCCGTTATCTTTCCCGCTCCTTTTCTTCTTGAAAAGACGCTTGATCCTCCAGAAGCCATTGCTTCTCTTGACCTCCACACAGCTGCTGCTGCTCCTCCTTAAAAATATGACCTGTTCGGGCTGCTTGCTGTCTTCTCCTCTCTTCCACTTGGGATTCGGGGGGTCGACCTTGTCGTTCTCTATCAAGAACGACACCCTCCCGACACTCCCGACCTCCATCGTGCTGCACGAGTTGCGGTAAGAAGACGAGACATCGGAGCAGGAGCAAGAAGAGAGGCGCTGCTCGCCGCACTCGGAGCAAACCAATTTGACCAGACGATCTTTAAGGCAGTAGGGACAGATCCCAACCGGGGAAGAACTCGGGTGCTTCTGACAGGGCATTTCCGAGGAGGCCAAGAAATTGAAGTCCGAGAAATTGTCGTCGTTCTTGGAGCCCTCCTCTACTGCTTTTCCCCTCTCTTTCATCGTGAGAAATTTGGGATACAAACCAAGACTGGGTTTTTATGGTAGGGGTGGTTTTTATTCTACCATTGAAGGTTAAAAAAGAGTGCAGAAGATAGAAGAGGCGATCCCACCTTTTTTTAGAGGGAAAAGAATTGGCGTGAGCTTTACGTCTTTCTTTCTTTTCAAGAAACTACTGAACAGTGGTGATGACAGTAGCAGCAGAAGAAGAAGAAAGAAAGAACAAGTGTGATGGAAAATCCCCACGCACAAACACGCAGAGAGAGAGAGAGAGAGAGAGAGAGAGAGGGCTGCTGCTGTCTCTATATCCCTGTTTTTTCTGCAGGCATCAAATCATTGCTGTGCGTGTCCATAAAGGTTGAGGAGACGTGGAGTGAGGGAGGAGGATTGAGACACAAGTTTTCAGTTGAGTAAAGCAGATGCGAATGAATCAAAGAAGCTGTGCTATAAATTAGGGCAGCTTCCATTTCTTAGCTTTCAGGTTTCTGTACACTGACTCACTCACTCATCTATTCTTGCATCAAAATTTCTCAAAGTCAAAGATATGTGAACTATGAGCTACGGATGAATCTGGGCCGTTTATGTTGTGGGTCCTAGTCTTCTACGGCCCGGATTTCGTAAAAGAGACTAACTCAAATTTTTTTTATCATTGAGATATAATTATTCATTTTTCTTGAAAATATTTATGTTACATCAATCATTCTTACTTCTTATTTGTTCCCATTAAGATGTCTTTATTTTATTCGTTGTCAACTCAACAGTGTTGGTAACGTTGTGTTCAATCAATCAACGTTTTAAATTTGATTTTTTTTTAAAAAAAATATATATTAAACACCTACTATTTGTGACATAACACGCCTTTTATTATTATATACCACAAATAGTTGTTAGTGTAGCAATTTTCTTTTTCTTTTTCTTTTTCGGATTTAAGAACAACAGCTAGTGTGCACTAAGGCACGTCCAAAATTAGGACATGATGGCCACCAGGCACGCCCTACCCCATAATATATGCATACATATATCACTCATTACTGTTTTGGATTGATTAACACTTGTTAACTTCCTGTAATAATAATTGTGTGCCCTAAATTATATTACAAAAATGCATTCAGGTCCATACTTGCTGCAATTATTAGGGACATTTAATTAATGATCAATCTGTGCTTTAGAAAACATGCAGACACCATCAGAAATCCATCCACCCTTCATTGTGTGGGTCCCTTATAATCAAGGGTGTGGATTTCCTCTGGACCCCACTCCATGGACCTCTCAAGAAAGTTAAATACGGCCCAAAATTTCATGTTTTGGGCCTAAGAGCCCTTAAAGCCCAAATGAACTACGAGTCTACTACTGATTTTTTGTTTTTTTTCAGAAACCACTAGGGTTGCAATCGATCGATGTCGATGGAGAATGGATCATCGAAGAAACGCGAAATTACGGGGGAGATTCAAGGGAGGATGACATTACCAATCTGCCTGAAGTAATCACTGTTGGAATCCTCGAATTACTCCTCATGAATCCATTTGATATGGTGGTAAATCACACAGTTCATGCCTCTTTCCTAGTTATCCTGCATTGAGTTGTAAAATCAAACAGAGGCGATATTAGAAGGTATTGATTACCAAAACAAGGTTGAAGACCGACAAAAACACCTAACCTGAAGCAGTAAATTCCCAGGGCGGTTGTGATTTCGTGAATAACCGACGTTGCGAAATGAAGATAGAGCAGCACTGCGCACGGCGAAGGAAAATTTCACTCAAATTTAACATGCAAAGTGGTCAGGAAAAGAAACTATGTATAGAGTTAACTGTGGCTTTGATAATTAACTGGTGAATTTCCTGAGCCTATTGATGTTTGTAATGAAGAATATGCAACTAAGAATGCCAGGACAGGAAATCATCAGCAGAAGAGTTGTTCTACCTGTGTATGCAAAAAAGCCGAGAAGAACCCAGAACTCGTCAATTAAGGGGACTCTGGTGATCAAAAGAAAAGTTAGGAGTAAGAATCACAAGAGGCAAGACATGAAAAGAAATCATCATGGCAGAATTTAAGCTGCCTCGAACCCGTCATTTAGCGTGGCAGAGAGTGCATTTGCAATGGCCAACGGCAGATACAACAAAGACTGCAGAGTGTGAAACGGCAATCAATTCATTTCAGAGTGTAAAACGAGAAATCTATTGTACAAGGTACAGCTATAGTTTTAAAAAACAAAGGCATGTCTGTTGTTAAAAAGTATTTGCTGATATCGAATTTATATCAAAATTAGCACAATGATTCCTCACAAGAATATACAAACATATATATGTGATTATGTGTATCAACGTGTTGCTGCATGATGTGCAATCCACAAATATTAAACTTGAGAAATGATCATACCATGCACATATTTGTTTTTAGGCCCTTTGGCTCATCACATAGGTGAGCAAGAACCATCCTTCCCTGCAAAACAGTTTTTTAAGCCATCAGAACTAGAAACACCAATAAAGTATAGTAACAACAAATGAATCAGCGTAATGTAAGTGCTCGGAATAATAAATGCAACCCTTGGAAACTAAGTTGTTACTGCTTGCATATTTTATCATATGGCATAATAATCCAAGAGGCAGGAGAAGCCAATAGTACCCACTAATAAACTTCTGAAAAAATTAAACTGCATATATAAGGTGCCAAAGTATGGACTATGGAGACATCTTACCACAAGAAAACCGAATGCCAGCCCAATACTCAAGATGATGAGGTGCGGATAGTTTCCCATCAAATCAGAAGGAGACAGGTAGTTCCTGAATAGTTATACTCAATGATTAACGGTCGAAAATACTAAAGTAAGAAAAGGGATCAAGGATCATACCACACAAGAACTCCACCCAATAGCACAGCAAAGGGAAATAGCTGGCAAAAAATGAGATCATTAGTCATTAGGCGAGCACAAAACTGAGCTATAATTCATGTGATGTACAAGCATACCATTGCCAAAGCTAGTAGCATACTTCCTTTTCTGGCCTCAACAACCTTATGAACATTGTACACACTGCACAAAAACATTAGAAAAGACAGTTCACCTTTTTTTACCACAGAAGAATCGATGAGGTACGTGAACTAGAGCACAATCTAGGAAGATAATTTTTTTTTTTTGAGTAATTATATTAATCTGAAACAGATGGCATGTGTTGCATCAATTTCACTCTTATCTAAATATTGCTTCGCATGTGAATATGTATATATATATATGTGTGTGTGTGTGTGTGATTATATGTGCATATTGATATATACATGTGTTTGTGTGTGATCTCCAATCAACAAGACAAAAACTCAATACCAAATTGCTTCATGAGTTCACCAAATGTGATATGCAACATTAAGCTAGTTTTGCTTACAAGCATACTTCCCATCAACAATAGAAAATACACTCACTTGAATGAGATTGTAGGTATAACAGCAAAAATGATCATCAGTAACAACGCAGCTTTATACATTGGGAATTCTGCAATAAATTGAGAAAAGAATTTATAATACGAAAGCCAACCCATGACATAGGAGAAATGCAAGAAAGAGATTATACAAACTTTGAGAGAATAAACACATCACATTAAGCAAATATCGTAATGAATAAGGACAAAGCCTGAGCAGCCAATAAAATTACAATTATACATCCAGAAACCAGAGTTGATAAAGAGCACAGCCTAGCTTGGAAACACGCATATGATCATGAATATAAACAATTAGTTGAACTATTACGAATCTAATAATTTGCCTAACATACCATTTATAAATGGAATCCAACTAAAGAATGGAATAGATTTGCCAAACGGTTGAGCCCACCACCCAGCACCTGAAAAGAAAGTCCGTAAGAGTTAATTATGTACACTGTCCGATAGCAGATTTGTTTCTATAGAATAGATCATTTCATAATATATGACCTGTTAAGTACTGTCCTTTTGATTTAGTTTCCTATATGTCTATGGGTTCTGTTTGATTATAGTAGATTATATTGTCATTTTGTTTCTTATTTCTCATTGTAATAAACCGCCATAAATACAGCATTATTTCATTAATTCCACCATTAAAAGAAAAAACATCTTTTTTTTCAACACCACCTAATATGTTGAACTATAAAGCACAGGTGATAACGAATAGAAATAATACCAACAACAGCTGTGAAGAAATGAATCATATATATCAACATAAGGCCTTCAGTAGGTCCATTTATGGCTGGAAGAATAAGGGTATTGGTGAAATAGCTGCACATAAAATACAAAAACATATCATTTCAATAAACTATAGAGATTTCAGACTAGCTTAGCACGAAAGATTAAATAATGGTAGCAGCAAGGTTAACAATCCTGAGAAAAATTGTGAACAAAGCATATGTGAGATTTGAAATACAGCTTTTCCTATTTTATAACAAATGAGATGCTTAAAGCCCATGTATTGAACCAAGTTTGTGAATCAGCCTAACAGTCACTTACTGCTCCCATGTAGCACAGTAAAAAGGGACTGCAGATATAACCCAGAACCAAAAAGTGCTCCCACCACACATGGCAGTGCTTCCAAAGGCCAAGGCTTCAAACTGGAAGATGAAAAATAAAAAATAAAAATTACAGAACATTTACAAGCTACAGGATCCCAACACCCTGATAGAATCAGAAATATTAAGTACGTACCGCACATCCAAGTGCATCACATCCTGCAGTTTCAACCAGGCAATGACACAATAGATGAATATGGTCAGCACTAAAGAAATTTGAAAGATAAAAGGCAATGAAATAATAGAACACAAGAGAATATAGGACAATCATAAGGGGGAAAAGTCACCATGATCAAAGAGTTCTCCAAGAGGACTAGAAGAATTTGTTCTTCTTGCTTGTTTCCCATCAACAGCATCAAATGTCTAGCAATAATTTAGAGAATCCAATCAATAAATGTTGAAAAATGGTACTTGCCCATGCATATAGATAACATTTAGCTTGGGTCATTCAACTGTAACTTGTGATCATCATTGATAGTGTCAATGGTTTTTCTTAATTTGGTTTTATACATATCTTCTAGTGTTCCGTAAGTCATGAACTCAGGCGTCATCAGTTCTCGAGTCAATCCGGCATTTGACTCTACTGGACACTCAATTTTCAGTTTGCATTCGATATTCCGAGTTCTACAATTTTATTCCTAGCGATATAGCTAAATAAATATATTGTATACAAGAAATTTAATTTCTATTTACAAAGGACAAAAGAATTACTAGCAATGGAAAATAATATGATAACAGATACCCGAGCTTACTTGATATAAAAAAAGCAGCAATCCATGGGCAAAATGAACCCATCTTGGAGGAGGTGAATCTAGTTTAGGGGAATAGATCTGTAGAAGTCATTCATAGTGATCATACACACCGGAAAAGATATGAAGTTAATTAATATGTTACTATATTGCAAAACCACATGGCAAATGAGAGAGAGAAGGAGATCCTTTACCCAGCCAAGCAATGCAGATGTAACCAAGAACATAGATCCTGTAAGTGTAATCTAGACGAAAGAGAGAAATCACACAATGAGCTGATGGAAAATAATACAAATAAATCAGTACAAAAACAAACTTGTAAAAGGTCGTAATAACAATTTACCATGTTCGGCCTGAAAATTCCCGGTTACATGCACAAAAGTGAAACAGAAGCAAGTCAACAACAGTCAATAGAAGTCAGGTGAACAGACAGAACAATTTGAATCAAGATCAACAGCATTAAAATTCTCCGAATCACATCAACTACTTTACATGAAACTAGACAGTGCACATCAATTAATCCAAAACCAGCTACCTAAAAAAGGCACACAGCAAATTAGGACTAGAGTTATTCATTAAAACAATTCAGCAGCACACAGCATACAGCATCACTAATATTTGTGATTGCTTTCACCAACAGCCATGTCTCTAAGACCAAGAATGGTAACCGTAAACAAAAGAACACCATAATGCAGATCAGTTATAACTTATAACAAAGATTCAATGATCTCTAACCACTATATCTCCTAAAACTATGACCATTGACAAGCAACCTACCTTGAATAAAATTCCGATTCAAAATAGCTTTTTACATAACTAAGTTCCCATTACTTGTCAAATAAATTTTTTATTCCCTAAAATCGTCATTTCCGGACAAATCAATGTAATTCAAAAAGATGCAAGTCAAAATCAAAACAAGATGAACTAAGAAGTAGGAAGTTTTTTGACCGCACTCACGGCATCCAAAGTGGGAAAAGATTAACGCAGCGAGTCCAGAACGGCTGCAGCACATATTTAGATACCAATGAGTTATCCACTCCACTGTACTTATGCCTATGCAATGCCGCTACTCCATGTGCTCCAATGTATCCCATTCTTCTTCCCTTCTGCTCCTGCTCTGCTTATAAATCTGACCTTCAATAAGAAACAAAAGAGTTCAAGCAGAACCAAATCGAAACGCGAGATCGAGCTGCAGATCCAAAGCAGACAGGCAATTTAGAAAAGAAACAGTTGAAAAACTCACAGATTTCTTCACCTGAGCTGCAGCGCGAAGTAGACTCGGCACACTGTGGAAAGAGCCAAGAAAAAAAAGCAGGAAAAAGTCGCACTTATTGAGGTGGAAAAGCGCACTTTCCAACACGTTTTTGGTTTACCAGTCTAAGATTTTTAAAGCTAGTTAAAATAAAAAATAACTATATTTATAATTATATCAGCATTATAAACCGAATATATTAGTACTATTATTTTTTAAAATGAAAAATAACATCACAGCTCACAAATACATATACGAAAATATATTACTAGTATTTTATAAATAAATAAATAAATAACTGACACAAATAAATATATATATATGTCTGTATTTTATTACTTCATTGAACATGCAATTTTATCTTATCTTGACTTATTAGCCCGCACAACAATGCACCTCCATCATCTGAATTATTACTTCAAAATCATTTGTATTTACTTGGGGTTTAGGATTTGTTTAACTTCCACCTCAAATTAAAATCACTACTATTTAAATTGTATGATTTTAAGTAAGTTATATTATTTCATATTATTAAATATCATATTAAAATTCTATTTAAATAAAAATTTAAATTTAAAATAAACATTTTTTCAATAGCATTTTTTGCGAGAACTGCACACTACCTTCTAGTCTTAATATGCTACAATAAAGCAACGATCCTTTTATATTATGTGTGACAATATTTATTCCCTTATTTAAATTTATATTTACTTTTTTTTTTTTGGATTTGTATTTTAAAATATTTTTATTTTTTTAAGTAAAAAATTATTATATTTTTGTATTTTTTTTTTTTTTTTTTACTATGAAAAAGTAATCATTATTACTTAAAGATTGGTGAAATACTTTGGAAATATGTAATGCTATAGAATATCTATACAAATATACCAATTCCCTAATTAGCCCTACCTACTCCAAATTGTCCAAAAATATTTTGCTGCCCTCGTGGTAGGTGAGCAGTTTTTTCGTAGGATTAAAGTGCGTGAAATTATAAATAAAATTATAAAAAAAAATTAATAATGATAATTGAATTTTCATTTAGTAAAATAAATAACTTATTTGAAAAATGTATATAAAAGAAAACAACAATTTGAACGAATCGTTGCAAAAGAAATATTATTGTGAATTGGACAATTAGATAAATGAAAATTGGTAAAAGAAATATTATTGTATTTAGTTAGTGATTTTTATTTTTTATTTTTTTTGGATGTTTTAATAAAAATTGGGATGTTATTTAATATGAGATCCAAATACTTTGTCCGTCCCATTAAAAGGTGGCTGTTTACTTTTTGTAAGTAGATAACATTAGTATTATATTGAGTTGTAATAAAAAAATAGACATAAATAAAAATAATTCACTTTTTGTAAGTAGATAACATTAGTATTATATTGAGTTGTAATAAAAAAATAGACATAAATAAAAATAATTCTTATTAGTATTGTATAATATAAAAGTAATGATATTGTAAATTGAAAGGATATTTATGATATTAGACACTGCAGTATAATTTAGAAAATTGTAAAAATTAAAAAATTTAAAAATTAAATAATCTATTTTTAAATAAAATTGTAAAAATTAAATAAAATAACCGACAAATAAATACACATTGTCCATTTCTCAATTGTGATTTTTGTAAGCAACGTAAGGAAATGGAATATGTCTAACAAAGATTATACACTGTAGAAACAAACAAACAAAAGAATTAGCAAAAAAAAAAAACACTTTAAATGTTAAAAAAATTATAATAATAAAATACACACTATATTAAAATCTTGTCCAAACCAAATAAGTATTTTACATGAAGGGAGTATTTGCTAATAAATCGCAAGAAGCATTAAATAGGGATAAGACCGTAACTTTCAAAATATTAGGGTGGCAAAGCGTTCTGGGTTATCATCTATATAAGCGAACTCTCGCTCAAAAACACAATCCAAAATCAACAGTTCGTACGGCAAAATTGGCATTGTGAAATCCGTAGATGATCCTGAGAGGCTGAGACTGAGTGCTGTTATTTGTATCTTATGTAAAAGGTTTCTTTGTTTTACTCAGTTGAATTTTTAAGGTTTGTAATTTTAGGTGACATTGCTATCGTTTGATTACGTAGTGATCATTTTTGCCAGCGGAACGATTACAAACCTATTTTTAAATGCCTGGATTTGTTTATCTTCGTTTAGGATTTTATTTAGATTGAGTTGCACTTAGAACTGAAGATTTGTTGATCCAACACTACACAGTTGCATAGTTGTTACTTATATAGCCAAAATTGAGAGTCAATTCTCCCACATATTGTATGCATGTTTGTTCATTATGCGATTTTTGATTTCTGATTCAACGTCACTTTGTTACGTTTTGACGTTCTGCAGAAAGAGTTGATGATCTAATAGAGTCTAAAGGTGGGAAAAAGAAGTCCAACAGTATATCGTCATTATATGAAGCTTCATTTGGTTACAGCATCGAGGACATTCGACCGAACGGAGGCATCAAGAAGTTTCGATCTGCTGCATATTCCAACGTAAATCACCATTTCTAAATCATGTCTATGATTAGTTTCATAATTCATAATTGTGATTGTTAATTTATACATATTTTTGGGTTCATTTCTTCGCAGTGTGCTCGCAAGCCATCCTGAGATTCCTAAATTGGTGCCCTAGTTTACAAAATTAGGTTTAGTTTTAGGTTTATAGAAATTACTCTTTTTCTTCATAAGCCAAACTCTTCTGCACCTGCTCTATTTGCTTCCCTAGTTAGTAATACTTGATGGAAAATGGCTGCCCCTGTTTCTCCAATTGGATTCGAAGGTTTCAAAAAATGGCTTGAAATCTCCTTCACTGAGCCAAGCATCTTTGCTGATCCTGATGGAAAGGGTCTTAGATCTCTTTCCAAAGCTCAGCTGGATGAAATGCTAGAATCTGCAGAATGCAAAATTGTTGATTTATTGTCCAATGCCTATTTCGATTCATACATCCTTTCTGAGTCCAGCCTCTTTGTCTATTCCTACAAGATCATCCTCAAAACCTGTGGCACAACAAAACTGCTTCTTGCAATCCCTTCTATACTCAAATTGGCCGAGTCTCTGTCCCTTTCGGTGCAAGCCGTGATCTACACTCATGGAAGCTTCATCTTCCCCGGAGCTCAGTCATATCCTCATCGATCTTTCACTAAAGAAGTGGCTCTCCTCGACACCTATTTTGGTAATCTCGGGCCAGAGGGTAGCAAAGCCTGTGTTATTAGGAGTAATGATAAGCCACAGAAGTGGCATGTGTACTCTGCTTGCTCGGCTCCTTCGAAGAATTTCAATCCCATATACACACTAGAGATGTGTATGACTGGTTTGGACAGTCAGAAGGCTTCGACTTTCTACAAGAAAGGCTCGACCTCTGCTGCAACGATGACTAACATCTCTGGTATAAGAGCCATCCTCCCTGCATCCGTTATCTGTGACTTTGAGTTCGAGCCTTGTGGCTATTCCATGAACTCCATTGAAGGAACTGCTCTGTCGACCATCCATGTTACGCCTGAAGATGGTTTCAGCTACGCGAGCTTTGAAACAGCTGGATATGATTTGAAGCATGGGAATCTTGGAGTTCTGGTTGAGAGGGTGCTGTCCTGTTTCGATCCCCGGGAGTTCTTTTATTCTGTTCATGCTGAATACGGCACCAAGTTACTCGATTCCATCCCTGCCCTTGACGTAAAAGGATACATTGCTGATGAACGAGTATTTCAGGACTTAGGAAGTGGCGGATCGATCATGTACCAGAAGTTCACGAGATTTACATCCTCCGAATCTCCCGTCGTCGCGTCAACGAAGAGCTGCAAACCAGTGAAGGAATGAAGAGAAAGAAGGCTCCCTTTCAGGTAAAATCTGTTTACAATAGAACTATGATCTTGTTTTGGTTTGGAGTAATGTTATGTGATATATGTTGTAAATTTGTAATGCCAAAATAATTCCCCTGCTGTATTTGTTGCCTATGTCAATATTGAATAAATTGTGTGAAAGTTTCAGGGAAAGCCACAAAATTTGTTATATATATTTGTATATAAAAATGGTAGATTGATTGATTGACAATATATTGCTATATATGTTATATTCTGCATCAGGTATACAACAAAGAGATAAGTCATACATGAGTGTCACCAAATCTATGAATGGTGTTTTGTTTCTTTTCTTTGTACTTGAATAATTAATATTAGTATTATTTATTGTAAGCCATTTTAAATTTCTTTTATTCTTGGATCTATTATTGTTTTGACTAGAAGTTCTATTTGTACGACTGGACTAAGAATAGTGTTCTTATCCCATGATATGATAAATCGATCAATATATATTCTGTGGCCCTTTAGAGACAAAGATCCCCATATTTGATTTGCTTTGAAGCTAAGGGACAATTTTCCACTATTTTGGAAGCATCAACTTGTGATTTAATTAATTTACTTCTTTTTTTTTTCTATATATATACACTATTATTTGTATAAGTTTCAATTATTGTGATATTAATCCTACATATTTTCTTGAAGCACATCACGTGTTTAAATAATAATTAAACATGTGTACGGATTAGAACTTAAAAATTTACTATTTAATGACATTCTATACACATGTGTACTTTGAATTGTAGGAATGTTTAGAATATGGTATAGGATGCCAAGATTCATCGATTTTTATTTATTTATTTTAATTTTTTGGGTAATGGAAAATTACAGATGGAATGCAGGAGGGGATGAATAGAATAGTGGGGATTGAACTATGCATGGAGGAATCCTAAGCTTTAAAAGGTTTTTTGTATTCTTGGGAAAAATAAAAAAATAAAAACTTATAATGGGAATCGATTCTATCTTTATTGTTGTTTTTATTAAATAATTCCAATGTGGCAAACAATCCCTTTCTCTTAGATGCCAAATTTCCCATCAGAGCTATCTTTTTCATGATCAATTTTATGCTTAATTAGTGATGTTCCATTTTTCTTGTCCCTTCATAGCTTCCAGAGTGCATATATACATCAATTTTCTCAATTTCAAGGAAAATAATAATAATAATAATAACAATAACAATACAAAAAATAAATCTAAATATAAACAAGTTGAGTAACAATTAGGGTTTTGTGCATGATTTAGGGCTTCAATGATCATTTTTATATTTCATTTTTAAATATTTGGGTGTTGTAATGCTAGCTTCCAAATTACATAGGTGTGAATTGAAACTAAACAAACATGAAAGAATCAATTGGGATCCACCCACTAACATCAAATCTTTGATGTTGGAATTATTTTAATTACAAAATCCCCCAATCCTAATTGCTGTGATTGTTGACCACTTTTTGACTCCAATCTTCCATTTGTGATCAATGGCCATGAGTGTGTTACAGACACACTCACTCTTCTATTATTATTATTATTACTATGCCGTCAGAATTCGTAATAGCTATCTGAAAGTGCACACTGGGTAAACCTCGGTTAAACTTAGTACACTGCAAACTAGATTCGACAGGCAACACACTAGGTGAATCATGTGTGGCAGGTGACTTGAGGCGTCGGAAGTTTGAACCCATGACATCACGTTCACACGCTCAACCCCTACGTCTCGTGAGGGATGAACCCGATTTTTTAGGTAGCGTAGATTAGTAAGTTATTAATAATAAGTTATGATATTAGTTTATTATTTTTTATATGAGCAATATTATTGGTATTTTAAAAAAATATAGGATTATATTTCGAGAAAATATATGCAACATGGATATTATTTTGTAAATAATAAAAATTTATATAATACAAATAAATAAAAAATTATTTTTATTTATTTATCATTACCCTAAATTAGTTTTATAAAAAATGAGGAGTTTTAAAGATAGATAAAAAATTATGTTAATTGAGGAGAGTGATAGAAATAAAGGGGTTTTGAATGGTCATAAGGGTAAAATATTAGAAATTTAATTAAATTGATTTATATTTGTTTAAAATTGATAAAATTATCAAAAATAGAAAAGGATCATCTTTCGTGAGACGTAAAAAAAAAAAAAAAAAAAAGTTCATTTGTGGCGGAATGGATGGAGTATATTTTTACTTGAAAATTATATAATTACCAAATCGAAAAAAAGTTGCTAATTAAAGAACTTGTATCTTGTATGTATATATATATTGTTGATCACTTAGTGAAGTGAAGCAAAACACACAAACATGGAGAAATGATTGATGGCTTAGGGATCCAAAGGAATTCTTGTTTGAAAAGTAGTCAACCCTTCATGATATATAATGACTATCATCATCATCATCCACGTCCACAATTATATTAATGCACGTGTAGGGAATCGACAGTTAGATACAGTATATATATATATATATATAGTCATTAAATTAATTAGCTACAAAAATATTTATTGTTATATGAATATGAATATATATATATACATAAGTTCATGCATACGTGCATTGCATTGTTGTTTGTTTGAATATTGAGACCATATTTGATATATATAATTAATACTCCAACACTTTTGGAGCCTTACAAATAAGCTAATAGTATTTCTTTCAATTTCATTTATTGAATCGAAGCTCAAATTAGTTATTTGTGTTTAATTATGAAAAATGTAAGAATGTTGAATAAAGATGGTGGAGTTGGCAGAAGAACAACATAATTGGATTCCCACTAGCAAACGTAACCATTGCATTTAGAATCTCGAGTAGTAACTCTTCTATATCTCGAGATTCTAACCTTATTTATTTATTTTAATAGTTAATTTTTAGTATTTTTAAAAAAAAAAAATTCCAAAACTTTTATCTAAATTGAACTTTTCATTGATTTTAATTCTTTATACAAAATCGCTAACTCTCAGATCACTTAATTCAATGAAAAGAATACAACTTATTTCATTAGACATGAATACATTCTTCTTTATTATTATTATTATTATTATTATTAAAAGACACGTAGAAGGTACGGATTCAGAGATGCATTATAATTTTTTATTTTTTATTTTTATATACATTATAACCTTTTTTATATATATTATATGCTAAGTTCAGAGTTGATATAACGTGTTGTACAAATACATTTTATGTGTTGAATTGAGTTATAACTATATATATCAATAACTCAAATACTGTGAAATTTATTCAGTAGGAAACAATAGTAAATATGCTTCCACAGTGCTAAATAAAGCAAAATTCGATCAAGAATTCATCAAATTTAAAAATATGCAAAAGGGGCCAAAAGGGAAACCCTCCAAACAAAAGCATGATTGGAGGAATTCTTCCCTTTAATCTTTTTTGTTTTTTTTCCTTTTTCCCTCCCCCAACTTTTTGAACACATATCCATCAATTGGGGGCCTAAATGTTACTATAATTGTTGCTTTCTTACACACACAAAATTCATATATATATATATATATATATTCCTTGCTGGACAAGTGGTGGCAATGCTACAAACCACTTTCTATACATAATCCTTCACTACAACTTTGTTCTTCAATCAGCTCCTAATTCATCATCATCATCACTGCCATGGAAAGATCTGTTTTCTTGATTGGAGTCTTTTTCAGCTTCTGTGTTTCTGCAGCTGCTTTGCTTACACCTAATGGAATGAACTATGAAGGTCAGTATTAATTGCTCAATCCACTTTCTTCAACAATCAAATATGATTCATTCAAATTTTTGTTGATGGCAGTGCAAGCTTTGATGGACATAAAGAAATCCCTGATTGATCCTCATCAAGTTCTTGCCAATTGGGATGAGAATTCTGTTGATCCATGTGGATGGTCTATGATTGCTTGTTCTCATGACTATCTTGTCATTACACTGTAATTATTCTACAGTCTACACCCTTTCATTTCTTGCATCATATGTATCCTAAGTTCTGTCTCAAAATCGGGAATGATCGATGATTCTTGCAACTCAGGGCAATTCCAAGCCAGAACTTATCCGGCAGGCTGCCGAGGAGCATAGGGAACTTGACACACCTCGGCAGCGTGTAAGAAAAAACAAGGATTGAATTGATCATGGTGGATCTTATTGCTGTTGTCTGTTGGGATGTTTTAATTTATGGAAATTATGTTCCAGGCTCTTACAGGATAACAAGATATCAGGGCCTATCCCTGCCGAATTGGGAAAGCTCCCAAAGCTTCAAGAACTTGATCTTTCAGACAACTTGATGACAGGACAGATTCCTCCTTCTTTATCAGAACTGAAAAGCCTTCAATATTTGTAAGAATCAGTTCAAAAAATTGCATCAGGCCCTGGTTTTGGATCCTTAAATTCATCAGTTTGTTTGGCAAACAGGAGATTGAACAACAACAGTCTGACTGGAACTATTCCTGCTGCTTTGGGCAGCATGCCTCAGCTGAAGTTCCTGTAATAAACTGATCACCATTTTCGAGCCTATTAATGATTTAGCTAGCTGTTCTTGATATTCTGTGTAATGATTTTCAGGGACTTGTCTTACAATAATTTGAGCGGACCAGTCCCTGGACTTTCTGCCAAGACATTCAAGTTAGTTCTGTCTGTACTTTTTCTTATCTTAGATGTGATCATTCGATTGATTTCCATTGCTTTAATGGTGATTACAGTATTTTGGGAAATCCTATGATCTGTGATACTGGCAAAGGTTGCAAAGGCTTTGGACAAATGCCTCTAACTTTCCCTCAGAACACTTCACAGAGTAAGAATTAACATACCACACACACTGTTTTTCTTGTTTTCTTTGTCCTAATACACTCCCTAACATGTTTCATATTCACAAAATCTTTGTAATAAGATCCGAAGCCATCCGGAAGGCCATTCGGGCGCAACGTAGCCTTAGCATTGGGTACAAGCCTCGGCTGCATCTGTTTACTGATTCTCGGATTCGGGTTTCTCCTCTGGTGGAAACACAAGCACAACAAGCAGATATTCTTCGACATCAACGGTAAATCCAGTGCTCAAAACCATTCAGAAACATCGTAATATCGATCTGTCTGAACCTTACATGTCTTCGCCGAATCTCAGAACAGCAGTATCAACAAGTGTGTCTGGGAAACCTGAGAAGATTCCAATTCAGGGAGCTTCAGATTGCCACACACAACTTCAGCAGCAAGAACATTCTTGGCAAGGGAGGCTTCGGAAATGTCTACAAAGGACATCTCCAGGACGGGACCGTTGTAGCCGTTAAAAGGCTGAAAGATGGGAACAACATCGGAGGGGACACTCAGTTCCAGACTGAGGTCGAAATGATCAGCCTCGCCGTCCACCGGAACCTTCTTCGACTCTACGGATTTTGCATCACTCCGACGGAACGTCTTCTCGTTTACCCCTACATGTCGAATGGCAGCGTCGCTTCGCGCCTTAAAGGTACATATAAATAAATCGAACGTCTAGTTTTACATCACGACGGCTGTTTTTTATCGTTGCGTGCCTGATTTCGACAGCCAAGCCGTCGTTGGATTGGGGAACTCGGAAAAGAATCGCGTTGGGCGCGGCAAGAGGATTGCTATACTTGCACGAGCAATGCGACCCGAAGATCATACACCGGGACGTGAAAGCAGCGAACATATTGCTCGACGACTATTACGAAGCAGTTGTCGGGGATTTCGGGCTGGCGAAGCTTCTCGATCACCACGATTCGCATGTCACTACGGCCGTGCGCGGGACAGTTGGCCATATAGCGCCGGAGTATCTCTCGACGGGGCAGTCGTCGGAGAAAACCGACGTTTTCGGGTTCGGAATTCTGCTGCTGGAACTCATCACTGGCCAGAGGGCCTTGGAATTTGGCAAAGGAGCAAATAAAAAAGGGGCTGTTCTTGACTGGGTAAGTAAACAAACTCACAAAAAATTTAAAGTTTTAAGCATTCCATAGTGGTGTCTAAATAAAAAAAAAAAAAAAAAAACAATGATTCAGGTGAAGAAGATCCATCAAGAAAAGAAGCTGGACATGTTAGTAGACAAGGATCTTAAGAACAACTATGACAGAATCGAGCTTGAGGAGATAGCACAGGTGGCCTTACTGTGTATGCAGTATCTCCCGAGCCATCGGCCGAAGATGTCCGAAGTGGTTCGGATGCTCGAAGGAGACGGGCTGGCGGAGAAATGGGAGGCGTCACAGAAGGCAGAGGCTACAAGATGCAGAGCTAATGAATTCTCCTCTTCGGAGAGGTACTCTGATCTTACAGATGACTCTTCTCTGCTTGTCCCTGCAATGGAACTCTCAGGCCCCAGATGATGAGGATGAAGATGAAGATGATGACACAAGAACAAGGGTTTGTTCAGACAATCAGTGTCTTTAGGTTTGATTTGGGACTCATTCATCATTGTTGTACAGAATGCACATTCAGTTTTGACAAAACTCACCAATAGACTGAAAAGGGTCCCTTTATATATATATATATATATATAAGTGTTCATTATTCGATGTAGTAAGTTGCAGACGTAACGGTGTTCTTGACATTGCATTCACAGGCAAGAAAATTTGTGACAGTAAAACCATAACAAAACCATTCTGGAAATTAAGACAACAATGAGTTCATTACAAGAATGGCTTTCGCCCCCAACACGTTCTGTACAAATGTAATGTAAATCGAAAGGAGAAGCAAAACAGCAAGTCACATTTCCTTTAGGTTGTCTGATTTTCAAGAAACTCTAACTAAGTTAAGGGCTATAAGTTGCAACTAACCTCAAGCACCTTCGTGAATAAAAGTTATGGATGCTCGTGGAGAAGCTCTCCGAAAGCTAACCAAATCAATCAGCATATTCAATTTTCCCTGTGTCGCATACAAACTTGGCGTAATGCTCATTTCTTCGAGACTATGGGAATGCTCGAGCAGAAACTTGATGAATTTCATTTCAAGAGGCACACCGCACACCTCAGACAATTTCACAGTTCTCAAGCTGTTCAGCTTATTGCCACACGAAATCTTTTCCTCCCACATAGCAAAGTCGGGCGATTCTACAGCAGCCGAAGGATTTGAAGAACCCTAAATGTATTAAAGATAATCAAAGCTGAACTTCAAGAACAGTTGATAAAGACAAATTTTTTATTTTATCATCAACAAGATAACTTACGGAGATTTGAAGAACTTCTAAATTTGGGGAATTCACGATCAGCTGAAGCACAACGAGGACTTCTTTCCAGTCATCAAAGCTAACTTGATAAAGCTCCACGAATTTTAAATTATGGTAAGTAATTCGATTGTGTCTTTCACTGTTACCTATGCTTAGATACTGCAAAACAAAGCATTTTAAGGAGTCTACACGGTCTTAAAACAAGTATATAATCGATGATATGCAAAAAGGGTTAACCTTTGTAAAGTATATATGTCCGATAAGCCTTTCAAGCTTTGGGACGCCGCCTAAAAACTTGTCAAAGTTGCAGCTTGAGCTTTGCTCAAAGTGTTCGGCTATGTCGTCAGTCATGTACATGGCAACTGATATCGCCACCAAAAGTGGGGTATTAATGAGACATAAATCCTTAAACTCGCCTTCCAAAATTAGGAACTTCAGATTCGGAGCGCTGACAGTCAGCTCTAAGCTATCAAAGTAGGACAATGTCAGGCTCTCGAGCAAGGGGCAGCTTGAAATGAGATATTCGATATCTTCCGGGGGAATCAGAACTTGCTGAAGATTTAGGTATTTTAAGAACAAGAAACCTTTGAAATGAACAGGAGGGTTCAGTTCACACCGGACAAGCTCCAGGCGTGTAAGATTCTTGCAAGAGAAGATAGAAGATGGCGCCCGGAACCACTCGCCTTCTCCCAATTCAAGAACCAACTCTTTGACATCTTTCCGCGAAATAAAAAGCATCCACTGATCAATATCAGGAGAGGTTTCCAGATACGAGCTGGTTAGGAAGAACTTGTGGATCGGCCCGTCGTGGAGAAACAAAAATCTTGTAATGAAATTCACAATCCTGTCCTGAACAAGAGCTCTGTCGTTGTACTGAGTCGTGCTTCTGTCATCGAACACAAGGTGTGTCAGGGAAGCCCATTTGTATCTCCACCTGGACGATAAGATGCTCGTTCTTACAGCATCGCGAATCGGCAGTTTCGTGAGGATCGTTTCTAGAATGCTCTGTGGCAATTCACTTAGCAAATCACTCTCCGAATCCCTTTCCATTCAAATTTTCAGACAAAGAACTTCCTCAGTAATAAAACCATAGCACTTTGGCATTAACACAGTAATCCAAAACCTGCCAGGAAACATTATGAAGTAAACATCAAGAAACAACAAAAGGATAAATCATATCCTCTACCACAGTTTCCTCAATCCAATACATAAATGTTTGCAAAATTTGCATTAGATAAAATCAGTCAGTTGTTCGATCGAAACTTAAGAAATAAAAAAATACAGAAATGAAATTAAGATTAAACTGCCTCGAAGTGTTCCCTTCTTGGTTCCAACCTTGTAGCAAAAAAAGCTGAAACCATACCCTTCACCAATTCAAATCAAATGTATAAATTGATCCAGAAATTATGGATAAAACCTAATCGGAGTAACAATTATCCAATTTTGCCCAAATCTTCCCAACTTCCTCACCTACCTATAGACCTTACACAGAGCTACTTTAACCACATCTGCAAGAAATCGTAGTGATCGCATTCATGTATTTCTCATAAGAAAGCCCATCGAATACCTTCGAAGAAACCAAGCCGAGAAGACAAGATCAAAATGCAAAGCCAAGGGCAAATATGAACGGTCGCAACAAGAACAATAGTGCCCAAGTCAAGAAGCTCGACAAGATACCTAAAATTTGTTAAAACGATCGATCGATCACAGACGAACTTGGAGTGAGGTTTTTTCCCTATAGTTTTTCTCGCGTCATCATCAGAGCCCGGCAGCCATCAATTTTGCCCTGAATTCGATTTTGCGTGAAAGCTAAAGGTGGAGGGATTTATAATGGTCTGATTCAGTTTAGTTTGACATTTCTATTGTCATTATTTCGATTTTCCACTCAACCCACTTTTCTGTTTCCAAAATCAATCAATTTATCGCCACTGCATTTTCACTCTAATCCATTACAATTTGAGGCCCATGTTTTTGTCACCACGCTGAATGATAAAAAATGTCATCTTTTTTGTCATTTGTGAACATAATAAGTTGCTTTGTGTATATATAAGTTTCCATAGATAACTGAAAATCAGTTGAGACAAGAATACATATTGCAATATTGCATCTCATGATGAATAATAACAACAAAATGAATCCAACGAGGAGACCTGAATTTCAAGAATCCTCCAAAGAAACACAACTCGCCCCCCAGGCCATCCTCATGTATTCACAAACCTGCAGTTTCTCCTAACTTCTCCATTTTCATAAGTCTCAGGATTGGTAATGTTTCCCAACCTCACCATGGATTCCGAGAACTGTTCGAAGAAAGCGATGGGGTTCTCGGCATACTTCGCCACGAGCTTCTTCGTCTGAACTGCTAAAAAGCTCGAATAAAGCTCCTGATCGGAGTTCATCACTCCCTCCCCTCTCATCAGGACATGATAATAAGAGTTGTCGAACAGGTCCGGCGTGACATTGTCCATTGCTGTCTCATTGTTGTCCGACCCTTTGATCGGTGGACAGATCGACTTCAGCTTCTTCAGGTATTGCCGCGACACCGGATTTCCGATCCCAGCTGTTGCAGCAAAGTCTCCGTATATTCGATTCCTAAAGTTCGTGCATCGCGCCATCCCTATCGTGTGAGCCCCTGCAAGATCCCATTTTTTAAAAAATGTAAGAGACGTAATCCACCCCTTTCAACTCAATATTGATGTTTCAAAAAGTGACGATCACCGGAAAGAGCCACCATGTCAGTGACGGACAAGCCTTGGTAAACAAACTTAGAAATGATCGGAAGGATCCCTTCATCCGCAGTCGGAATGTTTGATTCGACCAGCTCGTATCCAGCAGTCTTGGAGTCTTTCCGGCCCAATGGCACGTCCCAATACGGCCCTCCAACCTGTGATCCACCGACGAAAAAAGATAATTGAAAAAAACTCGATTCCAGCTAAAGTTTCAGAAAGTCTTGATCATGGCTTACCAGAAGGACTGCGTCTCTAGCTGCGACGGTGAGGATGTCAGCGCAGGAGACGATTCCGGGGCACTCGGATTCCATCCTGTTCTTGATCCTGTCGATGATTCTGAATCCCTTTAGAGCATTCTTGTTGTTGGGAGCTTTCTTCTCCCCTCGAAGCGTGTACGTGTCATCCAGCAGCACCGATCCATCGCAGCCCTGAAAGTATACGTATCATCAAACGGTTTTCAGACAAAATGATGTAAAAATATGTGAAGATGATAACCTGAACAAAGCAGTCGTGGAAATGCAGGCGGAGGATCAAGGCTGCGTTTCGAGGATCAGACAGCACCGCGCACTCCATTTCCTTTCTAACGATATCCAGCACTTCCGGGCACGTCGACTTGTAATAATCCAATGTTAGAGGTGGCTCACTTGCATTGAACATGGATAGACACAAAAAGGAAACAACCAATGCCAGAATGAGCCCTTTTGAGTTCAGATCAGATGCCATACTTTTTTGCAGGTCTTGAACTTCTTGGACAGGTGCTGATCAAAGGTTGTAAGAAGATAAAGAGGTATATATATAAGTTCAAGACTTGTACCTTGACTATAATCTTTGTTAAGAAAAACTTTATAGTCAATAGAGGATGTAACTACTAATAGCCTGGTTGGTGAAATCTCTTAAACCAAATCACATCAAGAAGCTCATGGGTTGTGCCTTGTGCATTCAAGGTTGTACCTTGGAATTGTCTCTGCAGACATAAAATTAGGACAAGCAAGCAACCAGACCTAAGTTTTGGCTTTTCTTTCTTGTATTCAATCTCTTTACCACTTCAAGATTTCCAGCAATTACATAGATTTTTTTTTAAAAAAAAAAAAAAAAAACCCAAAATTTTCTTAACTGCTACATAACAACATTTGGTTTGATGATACAAAGCAAAATGAAACTTGAATTTACATTTGAGTAAAATACATTAGTTTCTCTCACCAAAATATATATATATATATATATATCCTTTGTATACAATGCACAACTACTTTAATGTATCTATCTATCTGTTCAAGTAAAATCCCAGCTGAAATTTGAATCTGCCTGCATTCAGGAAAAAAACATATATACATATATAATCACTATTTAAGGATAGGGGAAAATGGAAAAAGAAGAGAGACTGCAAGAAAACATGAAGTTTGATCCATACCTCAATACGGGTAAAGGAATTATTACAGCTTCGCATTCTTTCAGAACATCAATCTTCATGCAAATCTTCATCTTCAGAATCTGGATAAAAGAAAGAGATAGAAACAGTTGTAGTGACAGCAAGTTTAAGGTAAAAATGTCTCTGATTATTCTAGGCTTTCGCTTTTACCCGATCGGACGTCTTCGCTGACTTGTCCGCCAGCTTGGATCTGCTTGACGAGCATACGGAACATCAACACCCACCAGTAGATGTGAAGGACAAGCAACGAGAAAAGAAGAGTGTTGAAAATGTAATAGTATATCGGCCCCACGACTTTGAGCTTCTCCTTGTCAACAAACAGTATGAATTCGTAACTGAAACAGTGTCGTAAACAAGATTAGGACAAAACAACAAAAGTTCAGTTTCAATGGAATAGACAGAGACGACGAAATGAACCTTGTGCTGCGTAAAACCCAAAACGGGTAGTAAATGAGGCGAAGCAGAACCCATAATACGACAAAAGCAACAAACGAGCAGCTTGCCAGTCTCTCGGCGCCGCTGTATTTCGACATCTTCCCTATTTCGAGGAATACATCAGTGGCGTCGTGAAGTGCCAATACAACTGAACCTACACGTACAAACCTGCGATGACCAAAAAACAAGATATATACATATATATGTATGTATGTATGTGATATGGTAGAGGTGCTGTTATTAATTGTTTACAGATCGAATTTTACGTACCTGAATATGTATGATAGGACTATGAGAAGGGAAGATACGACGTGATGACCCATAGAAACCCCGAAGTCAGATCGCCGTGTCTCCCAAAATATCAGAGCAAATATGGAGTACATGTAAAACCCGCCGGTATACATGTAAAGTGCTTTCAATTTAGATCTGTCCATCAATAATCGATCACTCGGCTAGTAAAAATATACATGTTAAAATAGCTATCCTCCCATTTAGTGAAAAGGGAATGAAATTTTTACTTGCACATTTGATCAGGCCATGCCCGATTATCTGGCCCTGTCCAAAAGTACTTTGTGTTTGTGAACCACGGTTCGTTGTACGTCACACCAAGTGCAAAAATCTCGGCTGATAGAAAATATATGCATTTCCATGCCGATTCTTTGAACTTTCGGATCTTCTTTTCTTGCTCTATAGTCTCATTCTTCACCTGCGGGGCTCTCTTCCCAAATATCAACCATCTACCAAGCTTCTGTGTCACATTTGCCGACACTAAATTGAGTGAGAAGACTTACGAAATAAGACAGGCCTTTAAAAGAACATAGTTGGCAAAGCTTTTGTGGCACATATGCAAGTTTAATGAGAGAATCAACTCCCTAAAACGGCGAAGCAAACTCTTGGATCAAGACCCCTTAAGAAACTAAATCAAGAACCCTCCAACATCACAAAGAATACTATAATTGATGAGTATAAATCAGCTGTTGAAGTCGGCATGGTGTTATTTGACCGGATCAGTATATATTATACATATCAACAGCATATATTTATACATATATGAGCATATTTATAATAATATTATAATTCTGAATATGTTATATTATGACTCACCATATTTTGTACTATGTGTAAATATACGCCGATTTTGCTCGTTTGGTCAAATCAGCACTGTAATGACTTAGTACGTCATCGTCACTTAGCCAGCGCAGAATCATAATTGATTTACATATGTAAGAAAAGGGAACATTAATCTGATCTTAAACCAAATAAAATCAATGAGCTGGTTCCTCGCAACATTTATCCAATATGCATCCAAGATATCTCCTTTTCTTCCTACTTTAACTTTTACACAACCTTTGGTCATTTCTGCTTCCAATCTAAATTCCAACAACCATATAGACACTGTAATTAGATTCTCATATCCGCAGTATATCTATTGAAGTTCTTTATTGAGCTTACATTTGTTTCTATTATCCAAAATTAACCCAACACCTCAATGAAGTAGTGTCATCCCAACATTTCTGGAAATGGGAAGTTATAACTTTGTGGTAAATTAAGCATCACAACCACAAATTTAGAAAGAAAAAAAAAAAGGGTGTCAATAAAGCATCAAGAAACAGGCAACACAAGAACCATGAATTCATTGAACACTACGTAAATTGAGCACAGAATCAAAATTCACTCCAGAAGACTAGCTCAAGATGAAAAGGGTACCTCAAAGACAAATCTGTCGAGGAAAAACCTCACTGTGGGGAAGAAGATGATGAAAAATGGAAGCACAGTGAAATCTTGGTAGTCGGGGTAGGATTCGCGCTCCCAATCAATCGAACTAAACATTTCAAGAGGACCCATCTCCCGGAACCCTTCAGCTAAACCTGATTGCAGTTTTACAGCTTCGATTTGATGCAACCATGTGAGCTGGGGATGAAGGGATCTACTTCTCCTGTTTATTATAAGAAGCTTCGTTAAACCTGCTTTAGCAGTGAGCTGAAGACTGTTCGATCTTTGCCATGTGTTGAGTCTTTTTTTTAATTGGGGTTTTTAATATTTATGGCTATAAAAAATTGTATGTGGCAGCCTTTCGTGGAATCCTCTGTCTCAACGACTTTTGGGTGGAACACAAATCAACGAACATACCCTTTGAAAACTGAACTTCATGGAGTTCTTAATCCTCGGTGAAGGACTGAGGATAAAATATTAATCTACCAAAGTATATTTCCAGTTAAGTTATCTTTGAGTGCAGTGTAAGTGAAGTGAGTTTCAAATCTTTGTCTTTAAAGAAGCTTTTATTAATGGAAAGCTTGCTTCTTTACAGTTTTAATGCCATCATTAATTAGATGAGTAAATTTTTAAACACAATTTAATGAGAAAAAAGTGGAAAATGGTATTGAAAGGATAGGTTTAAAAAAGAGCTGTAAAGCTACTTTCAAGTGGGGATTTAATATGGAAGAAATTATCTTTGCATATGGAGAATCCATTTTAATCTAAACTAGTGATTATAATGATGCCCAGCTGCCCTAGAGATCAGACGACAAGAGTCAAATCAGATGTAATCCAACAAAATGGATCAGATCCCCAGCTAAGACAATCTTGTCCCATATACTGCAAAATTCCTACAACTGGCTCTAAATGGAGCCCAATTGACATACGATGTAGTCAATGTTCAAATGAATTAAAGAAGTGTTGGATAACACACCAAGCAAGAGGAGTGGATATGGTATGAGTTGCCCAAGTCCAGACAAGTAATAGACACAGAAATGGAGGTGAAAAGCTCTGGTAGGGAACTAATGGGAGAATACTAACAAGACATGGGTACAATCAGTCCACCAGATATATCCCTTTTCAGGCAGCATTTTGTATCAAGAATGAAGAATTCTCTTACAGACAGGCTAGCATCTGAGACTGTGTGATGATGGGCACTCCAAAAGCTGTATCTATAGTGTATGACTCCCTGGAATTACAGATGATTGGTGATGACAAGACCAGGGAGATACAAAGTTGCTTCCTGGTTAAAAAGTGTACATCAACAGGGCCTTTGAAATCATTGGTTTTTTTTATAAGTTATGCATTCTTGGCCATTTGTGGAGTGGGACTCATCTGTATCAACAGGGAATGAATATAAAGTGAACTTGCCTGTGCCTATTTAGAAGTGGTTCTGTTCATCTGTGATAAAATCACAGTTAGATTTGAATTCTTGTACCTCACACTGGCAATGGACTCATCGAAAATCCCACAAGGTAGTGAAAAATGCAGCAGCAATGAATCAGGGTGGACTGCATACATCGCTTCACCAGGTGACAGCGCCGACGATTATGATGATGGAGAAGAGGAGGAGGGAGGGGAGGCAGAGGCTCGAAGCAGGGATGATAAAGAAATAGATGAATCAGAAGCTGAAGATGCTGATACTGACGACTCGATGGCTTCTGATGCCTCATCTGGCCCGAGTGATCAACACGAGCATGATACAGTCCTGGAAGAGAACAAGAATGAAAGCAAGATTGCTGGTGAGAAACAGGAGGAGAAGAACCAGAATGAGAAGCAGATAAAGTCTGGACAAGACAAATCAGGACATAAAGCTGATAGTGCCGGACATTCTTAAAAAAGGTAACTAACTATCCATGCCTGTTCATAGTTGCATATTTCGGATTCTTGATCCCCTGCTCAATCCAGGAATTTGTTTTGCACCACCCATTGGTCCAAAGCCTATACATGCAGTTTGATGAATCGTAAGTTGCTAACTTTCACTAAAAGGAAAGAATACCGACAAATGCTGCATAAGACCTAGCCTTAGTTACCTGAGGTGGGCATTGGCTTCCTCATAACTTTTGGTATTGGCTGCTTAATCTCAATAACAACTGCATCGGCTGTCAGAAATGTCCGGGCTACTGATGCTGCATGCTCCAAGCAGCATCTAACGACCTGTTTTGTCACAAAAGCATATAGTCGTCATGTTTTTCACGCTATATATGTTCTATACCATAAAAAAGATGTTGATCAATATCATCTCTCTTGTGTGAAGTTACCTTGGATGGATCCAGAATGCCAGCAGCCATCAGATCCTCGTATCTATCTCTTGCAGCATTGTAACCGAAATTTACCTCATCTGATGACAGAATCTGTATCCATTTCGATGATTCAGAAACAAAGGATTTAGATATATCTCCTAGAATTCTGAGAGGAAGCATTATTGAAGAGACCTTATGAATCACAGTATTCCCATTCACTCCAGCATTTTTCGCTATCTGTCTTGCAGGATAGGCCAAAGCTTTTTTAAGAATGTCAGCTCCAATCTTAGTTCACAACGTCGCAAAGTACATCAAACTTGTTAATATTACGAAGATATAATTAAGCTGGAATTGACATATGAAGAGAAGATGTAGGAAGTGCCTTTTGCTCTTCATTGTCCAAATGCTCCTTGAAACTGTCAATCTTTGTAGACAACCTTAGAAGGCAACAGCCTCCGCCAACTACGACTCCTTCATCAATAGCTGCCTGATATAAAGAGCATAAACGTATATTAGAGGCAGGATCATTGATGTTTACAGAATCTAGAAACAATTAGCCATGGCTACCTTAGTTGCATTTAATGCATCTTCAGCTCTAAGTTGTTTATCTTTTAACTCAACAACTGTCTGTGCCCCCACCTACAACATCATCAATACGATACTGCACTAGTAAGTACATTGTCGATTTTTTGGAGTTCAAGGAACCCGGCGCTAATAATTTACCTGAAGAATAGCTATCCGGCCTGATAACCTGGCTATCCTTTCTTTCAAAATTTTCTTTTGAAATTTTTCTTCAGTGTTCTGAAAAATGAAGGCAATAATACTTTATCAGAGGCAAATCACTCTTCGGTTTTATCTTGCTTGATCGAAAAACCGCCATACCTCAACAAGCCTTTGTATCTGAGTGACTCTCTGTTTAACAGCCTCTCGAGTGCTTCCATCTGTAACTATCAATGTCGAACCTTTTTTTATTACTACTTTAGATGCCGAGCCCAACATATCTTTCTTCGAATTTTCAAGCTTCAATCCCATGTCATCCCTGATCACTGTTCCTGTAGAAGCAAGTGGTTCTTGAATTTGGATTCTTACAACATAAATGTTGTGAAATCACATCATAGTGGAATTCTTCACCTCCAGTCAAGATTGCTATGTCATCCAAATAATGGCTCTTTCGCTCGCCAAATGCAGGAGCTTTAACAGCTGCCGCCTTCAGCACTCCCTTCAGCTTGTTCCTGATTACCGGAGCCAGAGCTTCCTGCTCGACACCTTCAGCAATTATAACAATGGGGTACTTCTCCTTGACTGCATTGTCCAGTATATTGAACAGCTCCTTCGGATTTGTGATCTTTTTGTCAACCAATAGCAACTGCAGGTATAGACAGCATTTCAGTTATCCACTTTCTGGGAGTACTAATTAAGTAACAGCTTCCATTGCATACTTTGCAATCATGAAACTGCACTGTCATGTTTCGTCTATCAGTGGCGAAATAGGGAGACAGATATCCCCGATCAAACTGCATCCCTTCAACAATCTCTAGACTATTTTCAGCATGGTTCCCTTTCTCAACGGTGACCACACCCCATCTTCCCACTTGTCGAATTGCATCATATATCATGTTCCCCATAGCATAGTCATTCCCGGCGCTAACAGCAGCAACATGCGCAAGTTCATCGTCCTCAACCTGAACCACATTGCAAGACATGTTTGCAAATGTAGATTTGAATAAGGCAATGCAATTGCACCATTAGTGCAGATTACCTCTTTGGACATTGATTTAAGCTCAGAGATAAGAGCTCTTGCTGTTTTCTCAATCCCTCTCGACACCTGAATCGGATTTATACCTGCTGCAGTGACCTGTATGAAAATTTTCCATGTTTAGAACTTATAATCCACAGACAAACATTAACATAGGACTATAAAAACCATGCCTTGAGCCCTTCTGCAATGAGACCCTGAGCAAGCACTATAGATGTAGTGCAGCCGTCGCCGGCAAGATCATTTGTTCTAGCTCCAGCTTGTCTCACCAGTTTTACTCCAACGTTTTCCAGGGGATCCTCCAGCTCAATCTTTACTACCATAAATAATAAACTCAAATAAATTACTCACCTCCGCAAGAAGTATATATTGAATGCAATAATGTGTTCAGACAATCTCATTCTACTACATGGCCTATCAATTGCAAGTATGAACATGAAAAAATTTAATGAAGTCCACTCTATCCGTTGGAACCTCTTTAAGCACAGTTTCTCCATCGTTGACAATCTTGGGAGGCCCATACTTGTTCTGCAACACCACATTCCTTCCCTTTGGACCCATGGTTACCCCAATCAGCTCTGCTACCTTATTAACCCCTGCCTGAAGACCAAACAATGCATTCATACAGCCAGGAAAGAATTCAATAAATGATGATTGGCGAACAGGACTCACCAGAAGCTTTTTAGTGGCTGAGCCATCGTGATTGAAGTAGAGCTCCTTTGCTACAGCTTTTGCATTCAACGTGCAGGAGTATGAGGGTTTCTTGGCAATTGTTGTGGGCAGTGATTGGCTCGTGAAGACAGCTGTAGGCATTGGCTTCAAGGAACATCCCATAGGCGATTCAGTTGGGGGCTGAAGAAAATATCTTCTGGGACTTTGCAGATGGTTTTTGTGGAAGGGATAAGAGGGGATTTCAAGAAGAACAATATCTTCTCCATTCTGGTATTAGGCCTTTTGTCTCTATTCATAGTTTTCACCCAGATAAGAAGTGAAAAATGAAAACTTTCATGGTAATTAAATCTGATGAACACAGATTACAGTCACCTCTTCAATCTGATAAACCCTACTTGTTATCAAATATCTCTCTGTCCATGGTGCGCGTGATTGCATCATCCATAACCACTTATGAATGAATTTCTTATCAGTCTTAGGCATCAATCAGGCTATCTTCAACAGTAAAAATAGCATAAATCTACTGTGGATTATTAGGGTTGCTTTTGTCGTTGTAGATGTACAAACACGAAACAGATCAAAACAAAACATGTACCAGAGTCTTCCACCGTTCCACGTTTATGGCTACAATTTCCTCTGATCATTCCCTGAATTCTTGGCCGAAATTCTATCTATTCGTATTGGGCATTGTATCTCTAGTTAGCATCACGCCACTGTTGAGCATGCCACTTCCTGTATATATATCGTCACTCCCAACTTTCAACTTGTTCAATACGACAAACTGTCAGCAATCCTTGTCTAAAAGTCGAGACCCCTTGTCAAAGATGAGAAATTTGGTGATGACATTTACTTCAATTGCCACTAAATACTTGAATAGCAGAGGCAAGAATAGATCAATTCGATAATTTCATTTATCATCCTCTCTTACAGTCAATGCAGTGTTCTACAGAAGCAGACACCTGAATGATCGTTTTGATTTGTTTGATATGTGAATTAATTGTGTGAGCTGCCCTGCTTGCATCACAAAAAGATGAAAACAGTTGCTGCTGAGTGATAGTGCGATTTCTTTCAGATGTTTTTGGTTCTTGTGGTAGCTCTTGAATTATGTTCCACTACCGCCAGTGTCTCCACCTACATTTGTCCTTCTGTAATAACCTTCAATTCTTCTGGTTTCTGGACTCTGATTTCTTGATGCCAAGACACTTGGTTGCAGAAATTTACTTCTCGGAGGATGAAGAACTTTTCTTGGAGGATATGAATTGCCTGATTGATTCTGATCGATGGATAGATGTTAAAAGTTACGGAAACATTTATTAGCAGTGAGTTAAAACAGTAGTAATACAAAAGAAGATAAAATGGACAGCCACATAGACGACTCTCCCTCTCTCTCTCTACCCCCACTCTCTCTCTCTCTCTGTTACACATACAAATGATAAAGAGCTGATGATGTTCAAATAAGCAGGTTTGCAGAGGTTGTTGTAACTGACTGAGCTGGAGATTCATCCCTGAGATGAGACTTATTGCAAGGTGTGTCATCAAGATCTCTCAAAATGGCGTAGGAGTTACCAATTTGAAGATCCATCAGCATTTGTCGAAGATCGGAAGCTTCTTCCTTTAGCCTAGCATTTTCGACGACAACTCTATCATGGCTCTCCGACACATCGTTTAACTTGCTCAACAGACTGTGATTTTCATTCCTTAGACGAAGAACTTGCGACCACAGCTCATCAAGGTGCCTCTGCTTACGCATCCTCGACCTCCGAGCAGACTCCCTATTCGATATCATTCTCCTCTGCTTCCTCTCGTCAATGATGCCCGCCGGATTATCGTCTGCTTCGTCAGAAGTCGAGTTACTGCTGATGCATGAAGAATTCAGACCAAGATCATGGATCCCTGGTAGAGAGGCCTGGTAATTCATGAACCTGCTGAACTGTAATTCGGGGAAGTTGTTTTGCAGCAATCCGTAACAGGCCGGAAAGGATGAGGGATTTTCGGGGACAAAGTAGTTAACTTCTTGAATCTCTGATTGAATCATGGCTGGTTTGTGATTATTTTTGTGTCGAAGAGTTTGATGAAACTTTTTTTTTTTCTTCTCAGGTGATTTTTTCTTTTTCTCGATCTGATATCGGATTATGCATGAAAAGAGGGGTATTTATAGACGACGGATTATGGCATGGGCCATCCTAAGGGCAAACAGTTTCAGGGGCTTACATAATCACACTCAAGAGATATATCCATTTCGAAAAGCGAAAAAAATTTAAAAAAAAAAAAGTAGATAATGCGAGTGGTGATGTCTACGGACGAGCACGCAATGATTGGCGCCATTCTAGTTAATAAGTAAGTTGCATTTTTATTACATTGTTAAATTTACTAGAAGAGCGTGATATATTTCAATCGATCAATAGTTGAATAGTCTTTTTAAGGATAAGTAATTAACAGCTGAGCTGAGCTGAACTGAGCTGCACCGAATCAAATCGAGCTGTACAAATAGTCAATGTGGATGGATAAGGCCAGGCAATTCTAGAAAAACTGTGAGCTCAATCCACCTGCCATTAGTGATGTATGATGCAATCTATGGTAAAGGTGTAACATTTGTTTAAAGAGGTTGAAGAAGGGAAAATGCAGATTGTGGATATTAATAACCATTTGATGACTCAAAGACCACTAAGCTTTAGAACAGAAGGGGACACTATATAAATTTTTCCTTACTGTTTACATCAAATACCTAATTGCACTTAACTTAGGATCCCCATTTTTTTATTTTCTTTTAATATTACAGATGATGCACTGAAATTTGGTGAGGAGAAGAAGATGATGATGATGATGATGATGAAGAGGAAGAGGAAGATGAAGAAAGCTCTTATCTCCAGCCATGGTGAGGGCAAAATGGTAATTTTCTATTGGGAGGAAAATGGGGTTAGATGGAATGGTGTGGCTGAAACAAACATTCTTTCATGGTGCCACTTTCTAATGTTTCAACCAACCAAATACAAATTGGCTGTCTCTTCATCTATGGTAATGGCAATTGGGCAAGTGGTCACTTGTAATTTTAACTCACTCACTTACTTTTAGCACAACTTAATCTTGGTTGCTAAGGTTGTCTTATGTTATTAATCCACCCCTCAGGATGAACTCAACAAGTCAATAATAATAATAATAATAATAGACGGCTGACTGCAACGTTGAATTTAAAATTCAATATTGTGTTGAAAAAATATGTATTGTATAAGAGCATATAGTATTATTATTACAAACATCACATTGTATATATTAATATAAGATATGAATTAATAGCACATGTTATAGTTATATACAACACACAACATACTTATATAATACATATGTAATTATAAACAAACAATACATTCCTTTATTACATACAATATATACTGTGTGTAATAAAAATATGTGTTATTTGTATATATTATGAGTGTTGATTTTACACAGTGTTGAATTTTACAAATCAGCACATTCACATAATAATACCATACTGATCTTTCTAATCATCAAATATAAAATAAGCAGAAAAAACATAGTTTCAATCAATACAATATGTAAATTGTATTATCGAGGCCAATCTTAGGCCCGGGCTAGAAGTACACCGGCTCAAAGCTCAATATAAATAGAGGTCTATTATATGTTTATATTTTAACATTCTTGAATGTTATTTTTTTCAAAAAAAAAAAAAAGTAATTTTTTTTTCATAAAACATTTTATTATATACTATTTTAACATCAAATTAAATAAAAAAATTTTCAAAAGAAACCTAACCTAAGTAGCTAGAGGTGTCTAAACATGATGTTGGATTCATGTTTAGTACAATGATAGTTTGATCGAGCTGGGGTAGGATACGATAGAATTTCCAACCAATAGGATTAAATAAATATTGAAAAATTGACACGGGCGAAGAAGGCGGCACGTGTGGGAAATAGGAGAATGAATTAATATGCGCGTGACATTGTTGAAAACCTGTCAATTTTAATTGGGACAGTATTTATGTGGATCATTTTCATTAGTCAAATTATTTTCATAAAATACTACTATTATAACTTGCTACACGTCCCTCCTATGGTGGCCACTAATCACATCAAAAAATTAATAATAAAAGAAATCATATATATATATATATATATATTAAATAAATAAATAAATAAATTGGATTGTGCAAATGCCAGAGGTAGCAACTTGTAACCGCAAAGGCATTATAAAATTTTAATAATTGGGTTTATGGGAATTCTTTATAATTAGTGTGGTGTAGCATTTCAATATTCTATGTATGATCCATCACCACTTGTTTTTATTATTTTATTTTTGTGGGTGTTTTCTGGCTTAGGCAATTTCCCACTACCAAATATTATTAAATTTTCTTATGTAAGAATTGGGAACAAACACTTTCTTTAATTTATGCAATGCAATGCAATCGAGGCTCTTCTTAATTTATTATTATTATTATTATTATTATTATTATTATTATGCATGGATAATTTCGACAGTAAAATTACGTATACGTATGTTCAATCGTTACTCAAATTTAATTAACGTGGATTACAACCAAATTCAATTAATAAATTGCTTCATTTCTATAGACATTATTGATTGGCCCATGTTTGGGTAAAGAAAGAAAATGTAATAATTATTGAAGTAAGTTGTAATAAGAGTTTTTATTTTTATTTATTTTTTTCCAATTTCAAAATTAAAATTTAAAGATATATAAAGATTGTTACGTACGGAGGGGGCTGGCTTAGAAAAAAATGTCCTAGCTCTATTACACTTAATTCCCCAAATATATATATATATATATGATTTATTGCATGGGACAAACAACTAGGATTGATGATGACACCCAAAATATGCCTATTTAAATATATATATATATATATATTAAATTGTGACAATAAAGAAAATAAATTAGGTTTCATAATATATATTGTGTGTGTGTTATAAGTGGTTGAAGCACCAAATTTTCATTTGATTGCTCAACCAATCAATTCAAAATGGCCCACCAAATTCAATATATCTCAATCATCAATTCCTCAATATTATTGTCGTAATATTCGAATTTTATAAGTGCATAAAATTATAAGAATAATAATAATTAAGAAATCGTCCTTTTATTTTAGTTACAATTTGTTCTGTGATTGGCTTTAATAGGATAAGCTTATCAGCAATTTCCACATATACGTACACAATTAATTAATTTAATTTTTTTTAAAAAATAAAATTTTGATTATATATATATACATTAATATAAATAATTAATTGTTGATTTCGTTGTCTAAATATTTGTTTATGGATTTGTACTTTGTCCGATACGTGTAATGGTAGGGACAATGTTAATTATTAATTAAATTAACACGATCATGTTAATTTTAATTAATTTAATTTAATTTCTTACGTCTGTGTATGTATGTCTTAATCCAAAGTCATTTGTGGCTAATTAAAGTAGTTTATGCGTGTTAATTTCGAACTAATCAAACTAATCATCATGTCCATTCAAATTTTCTTGCATAATTAAATAATTTTATTATATTATTCATTTTTTATTAATTAAAATAATAAGAAGAAAAAACTTAGCCACTTATCGAAGATTTTAACGTTACATGTGGTAAAAATTCAGCCATGAATAAATTGGATTTAAGGATATATTATTGTTATATTAAATAATGCATTTTTTTTAAAAAAATAATAATATATTATTGTGTACGAAAGAATGTACTAATGGAGAGTTGGCACACATCGTTTTCATATTATTTAGGGAACTTATTGGTTTGATTTCATTTGTTTGCTCCTATTTATAAATTACTATTTCATTAATTAATCAATTAATTTTATTTTTTTTGCTATTTTAATTAATTAAAAATATACTCTTATTTAAGGATGGGATCAAATTTTCTCTACCTAATTAAATTATGTGTTTAAAGGGTGTTTATATTAATACAAAAAATGTTGAATTGAAGATATAAAGTGTTGGCTTCATAATATACAGAGACTGAATTCTAACTAACATAACTCTTTCCTAACTTTAATATTCTATTGTAAATTTTTTTTTTTAAAAAAAATGTGTATGTTATTAATTTACGTTGGAATGGAATAAGTGCTACTCCAATAAATTTTTGTACACTTTTTCAAATGGGCCAACTCCCGAAGTGTAGTAAAATCACAGTTGTAACAGCATCTTGTCAACGAAATAAGGACAATATCCAAATCAATAAAAGACAAGATATTTGGTAACCCGGTTCGGTTATAACCAATCTACATTCGGGGGATTCCAATCCAAGAGAAGTTCATTAATCAAGGTTGATTATGAACTAAACAGCCCAAAACTCCTTTAACCCATACTATAATGCAAATCACCTAGGAAAATCCCCCCACGGGTATAAGTTGTCACAAACTCGTACTAACAATTAGCAGATAGCAGGGTTGCTCAGACTTTGGATGAATCTCCTGATCGGATTTCCAATCTCTCTTTCCTCCGACGATGTCTCCGGCAGGTAAATGTGTCTAGCACTCTTTCAATGCATGGAGAATGGAAGGGTTGGGGTTGAGAGGATTTAACTTACTTTCTCTCACAACAGTTCTCTCTCTAAACCCATGCAATAACCAAACTTCCCACACGACTTACCAAGAAGCAGCCAAACAAAGCATACAAGACAAACTCAATTAAAACTATTTGCACGAAAATAGAATGATGTATTCCTGCATAAAGTCTGTCAAAGGTTGACCACCCAAAAATCCATTCTTTTTGTCTCTTCTAAGCTTCCCAAATCGAGAAGAGCGGACCCAGCAGAGTTGCAGGCAGTCTGTTGCAGCAACTTGAATGGAAACAAAGAAAGACAGCAGGGGAAAAGTAGGAAGAACCATATGCCAAAAAAAAGTTGGAGAACAATATTGTTCCAACAATTTATATTAATCATAATTAGTATAATGTATAATACAAGTAAATTGAAACTAAAAGACAAAAAAAATAAGTTAATAGCTTCGAAAATAGGTTCGGAATTAATTTGGATACTTAACTATATATTATAACAAATTTTAAATAATATTAAAATTAAATTACTTTAAAAGTTTCGAGTTCATTGTATTTAATATTTAAAAAATAAAAAATAAAAACTAGTCTATTCCGTAGACTAATGTTATAAGTCTCAAATTT